TTTTTTTATTTTAACTTATTAAATTTTTCAAAATTTTTGTATTCTTACAGTAATTTATTTATATCTTGCTTTATTAATAATTAAAGAGTAAATAAATATTAAGTCATTTAATAATCTTTTTATTTTCATTATTATTTAAATACAAAAAGTTATTTTATAATCAACAATCTTTTAATAAATTTGATTAAAGGTTTAGGAGAAAATGAAATTCAAAAATAAATAATTATTTTTATAAAGATATTTTAAATTTAAACAAAATTAAAATAAAATGAAAAAATTTGAATTTTTGCTTTTTAGAAGTAGTTAATATAAGTCAAGCATTAAAAGAATCATTGAAGGTAACATCTATTTTATTTTCAGATTAGATTTTATTTTTTGTATTTTTAGTTAATTTTTTAAAATTCAAGTTAGGAAATAAAAAATATTGGCTTGGCTTCCTAAGTCTTTGATACTTAAATTTGGGTCTAATTTTTTCATATTAGTTTAATATGTTATCATAATTATTATATGGAAAGTAGTATTTATAATTCTTTAATCTATCAAAATTATCTATCATAAAGCTTATGTCTTTCTCGTTGATTTCGTCTTGAGGTAAATTATTTATTGAGATATGTCGTTTTTGATAACTTATATGAGGGGATGGAGATTCTGTATTTTTTTTTTAGTTTTTATGAAATAATTATTGATCATGAGTATTTAAATTAATTGTAGTATGATGTTTTCTTTACGATAGTGAAACAGGACTATAATTTGATTCAACTTACTATTTTAAAATGTCTTCGTTTTAATCAATGTTTATTGCATCTGTGTTTTATTTGAATAGGGTTGGGCGTAAGCATGTTGACTTTCTTGTTGAAAAAGACTAGTTCCTAACCAGTTTGTTTAAATTTTTTTCTTAAATATCAAAATCAACTCTCGAAATCAAATCATTTGTTGCTATATTCAATAGTACTTTCTAATTATTTTAATTTTTATGGATATTTCCATTTCCGTTTCTATAGGTTTCTGTATTTAAAATATCTTCCTAAGTAATTAAAGGTGATTCAATTTTATTCAACTCATCATGATTGTATTATTAATAGCATATAGCTCTCTCTTAAATAATATGATTTTCATATAGAGAGTTTATTTTTAATTTAAAATTCCTTCTAGATGCCTTTCTTTACTATGGTAAACTAAACATATTCTATTTGTTAAATAAGTAAGTAAGTAAGTAAATAAATAAATAAATAAATAAAAATTAAAACTAATAATAGGTTTTTATTTTGTGAGTTATATTTATGTGTTTTTTTTGCAATAAACCATTTTTTAATATACTAAAATCTGAAAAAAATTAATTAAATACCTTACAATAAATAAAATTTAAATTTTAGCTTGTTTTTTCTCTAATTTATTTGATTTTTATTTAGCAAATAAATAACACTTTGGATTTAAACATGCTAAAAATAAATCAATTAATTATATTTTTATTTTGAAATATAAAATTACTTCAATATTTTTATGATTATTTTTACTAATCAAGTAAAAAAAAGCTTGAATTATTTCCATTAAAATTAATAATGATTTATTATGATTTATTGAAATTATTTTGGCTTACTTTTTTGTATGTTTTTTAGTTATTAACTTTTCATTAGCTTTTTTATTATTTTTTATAACTTGTTTTTTTTAATTTTCTTAAATTTGTTTTCATGTTTTTTATTATTTGTTCATTAATAGAAACTTTAAATATTTAATATTTTATAGAAATTAATTACTTTCAAAATTGATAGCTCTTTATTAGCAATGTAATGAATTTTTGGGCATTCTTTGAGAGAATGGTTATATTTCTAACAGCAATAGCAACTTATTTTGATATCGAACTATATTTTGTTCATCTTAGCATTTTCGCAAAGCATTTTAAATTTTTCATAATCTTCTGGAAACTATTTAAGAATTTATAAAAATTTACTCCTACTTATTGAGAGTAGTTTTGTTGTCCCTATAGTAACGGCAGTATAATGTCTTGGCTCATCATTAAAGAATTCTAAAGATCCAAAATCTTCTACATCAGTAATATTTTTAATAACTAAGGGTTAATCAGGATTGCCAGCATTAGCAAGTAGTTGTACTTATCCACTTTCTAAAATATAAAACTTGATGCTATTAGAAGACTCAGCATAAACATCATCCTATTTATAAATGGTATCTTAGTTTAACCATTATTCAGATTCTATAGTTAAACACAATTTATTAAGTAGCCCTTCAGAAAAATTATTTTATAAAAAACTAATTTTCCTTAAAATAGCCATATTTGATTGTATAATTAGCTTTTCTTGGATACTAATCGGTAGTCTCTTGAAAACTATCTTTTCCTCTTCTTAAGAGATTTCATTTTCAAATTAAAATCTATATTCTATGTATTTTCTCACTTCAATTTAAAGCTCATGATCAACTTTCTTCATTTATAAGTATCTATTTATTTAGTATTTATTTATGATTAATTTAAAGCATTTTTTAATTTATTAAATGAGAGAAATTAAAATCCCAATATAAACTAAATAAAAATAGACTTTATTACTGATTAAAATAAACCTTAACTTTAAATTTAGAGGATTTTGCTAAAAATTTTTTTGAAATAAATATCTTTTTATAGTAACTAACTTACTAATTGATTCATTATCAATTAGTAAATTAATTAACAATTATTTTGTTTGAGTTATTGAAAAATTGAAAAAATCAAGTAGTATAAATAAAATTTCACAATAATTGGTTTAAAAAAATACCTGCTAACTATTCTCATTTCTTTCACAAATAAATCACTTCTTTGGTTCATTTCATCTAAAATAATTCCTATTGAATTAAAAGAGTAAGCAAATGCAGCACATGAAAAAAACATGAATAATGAGAGGACACAGACTTCATAAATATTACTAGGTAATATATCACCTAATCCAACAGTAGTCATAATCGTTATTCCCCAATAAAATGCATAGACATACTATTTATTATATTTTATTTTTAATTCATTTTTATATTATTGCGTTATGCATTTAAAATTATTTACTTTTGTGAACCATCCTTTTGAGTCTAAGTCTGATCCATACTTTGTAATCCAATTATCTGTAGCATTAACATGATAACTGAAAGCGAGGAAAACGCAAGCAAAAACATGAACGAAAAATAGAATTTTCAATAGGATGTATAAAAACTTTAAAAAGACCATTTTTTTTATTTTTTTCTTTAGATTGCATATCTCAAAGTACTTGTAAAAAAACTTATCAATCCAATTAATTTTTAATATAACAAATAAATTGCACATTTTATAAACAGGTTTTGAATTAATCCCACTAACGAACATAGGAAAGGTACTTAAGATGTCAACCCAAAATCCTAACTTCATATACCTTACTAGAATTTTATTTCTATCCATTATACAATAACCTTTATCATAATAGCCCATGTTCAAAGAGAGAATCACGCTAAAGAAGTAAACCGATATAGAGCTTGTGATGAAAATAAACCTTTTATAAAAAATTAATTCAAAAGATATTTGAAAGAATAATATTATATTACCATTTGTTGCCATACATCTGTAAAAATGGAGTGTCAATAACAGTTTCAATTGGAACGTAAGTTAGATTGAGAATTATAAATATCAAATTTATAATGTCAAATAAGAATAATTTTTTAGAGTCTGGATGAATTACAGGTATACAGCCAAAACAAAATTAGATAAAAGAGCATTTTTTATTTTGTTAACCACTTTCGTTTTTTTAGTTATTTATTGTAGACAAAGAAATCAAGTTATTTTCTTTTTTAAGTTACTACTGTTTTTTATCACTAATTTAAGAAAAATCATTTAAATATGTAAGGCATTTCAGCTGGTGAGACTTGTTATCCACTTTCGAACTTAACATATATTGCTTGGTTATTTAATTTACTCCACTTAATGTTTTAAGTTTCACATAAAAAACTAATAGCATCCCTATAGCAATCACTTTCTGCTACATTTTGTTTAAATTCCCTTTTATATTAGAAATCAATGAAAAGTTGCTCTTTAGCCTAGGTAAGTTTTCTATGTTTTCTACCTTGTATTCTCTCGAATTTTAGCTTGGAATTTTAAATCTGCTTTCACTTTCTGAAAAATAAAACTTTGATTATCTCCTGTTTGCTAATTATTTCTAAATTTTAGTAGCACTTATTGGTATATTTCTTTAGCTACCTCCAGCGATTGAAAGGGCTATATTTTTCTCAGATATGAAATCCACCTTTGAATAAAGATCCATATTCTAATCGTTTTATTACTTCATAAAACCTTCTTAATCTTAATGAATTAAAATGTTATTATCTGATCGATTGTTAAATGATATGTTATTCTTGGTAGTATTTTTCGACATAAAAGATGCGCTTTTTTTTAGTTTATGATCAGAAACTGTTTAATCTCCATTCATATCCAAAGTGTGTCTTTCTGAGCAATCCAAAGATATTTGAATATCATCATCATTTTACCTAATCGATGGAATTGTAAATTCTGGTATGGCTAATCTTGGCGTAAAATCAAAAAGACTTTTTTCTTTTTTGATGGTTTTGCGCTTTTGATAAGCTCTATTTTCGTCTAAAGATTTTAACTTCATATAATACTATTATTCGTAGAAGTTTTTAATTTATTAATTGCAATCACTTTAGATTAGTTAATTACTTAAGTTTGAAATTTATCAAGCAATATATTAATGAATTAACAAATTAATGAGTCTGTATTTATGTGTATGTTTAATTCAATAAATCAGTCAGTCAATCTATTTATTTTTTTGTACTTGAAAATAAATCAATATATAAGTTTCTAATATGATCAATTTTTCTTAAATCTGATATATATATTGTTTGTAAAAATTTAATTTTTGCTATTTATCTTTTTTTTTACCTAAATCTTATGTTTGTTCTGTTATTTTCAAGAAAACAAACAGAATTTTTTTAAAACAAAATCTATTCGCTTATTGTTTTTATTTTTTCATTTACTGTCTCTTTTTAGAAGTAAACAAAAAATACAATTTGCTCATTCGTAAACTAAGTAGTATCATACATAATATTTAAATATCTTTTTAGATACTTACTATTTCAAGATTTTTTTTAGGTGTGTTGATGCAATAACAAAATTTTGTCATTTTAAATAATCGAACTTTTAAAGCATAATTTGAAGCAAGTCATATTAAAAATCAAAATATATGAATACTGCAAAAGTGTTATATTTTTACTAGAAAGAAATTTGATTAAATAGAAAATATTAACATTTTAAAAATGTTTAAATTTTTAACAGTGAAAGAAACTAGATATTTTTCAAAGAATCCAAGTTAATTATGAAAATATTAAATTTAGAAAAAATCTAACTTTTCTACATTTTTATATGAATTTACTTTTGATCAAGTTTATTTAAAAACAAGGTTTTTTTTGCAAGTCAAAAAATATAATAAATTTAATTTTATTTGATGTAAACAAATATATTAGAAATGGTTTTGTAAAAAAATGTCATTCCATAAATTACAAGCAATATTTTTAAATTTTAAGTTTTAAAACTATAATTTATGATTAATTTTTTAGAGCAATTAAAAAGTTTTAAATATTTTTAATCAGTTTTATAAAAATGAATTGAATCTTACAAATATGCTTTTAAAGCATCAAATATATTATGTTTTTAACGTCTTTTTAATAATATATTCTATTTATCGATATCAATCTATTTATTTATTTTCATTTTTTTTAGTCAGATAATAACTTTACTTCAATATAAAATAAATGTTACTCTAAAATTAAAATTTTAGTGATAAATAAAGAAAAAATAATTAATACTACTACTCTTTAGTAAGGAGGAAGAGAAATATTTTATATTTTATTTTTTTCCTCCTATTTTTTCTCCTCGCAATCTAAAAATCATATTTCACTATTCTTATTATTATTCAAGAGTGCCCAAAGTATATAACTAACAATAAAAAAATTATTATACAAATATTTAATTAAAATAGAATGATATAAAATTAAATACAAAATAATTATTATTTATTAATTTAATGAGTTTAATTTTAATAAAATTCTAATGAATTTAAAATATATAATTATTATTAAGTCTAAAATATTAAGTTTTTTAAAAATTATTTGAAAAATAAAATAAATTGTAAATTATTTGTTGATATTTTTATTGAATCGACTTAATTAAATATATTATTCACTTTTTTAACAATTATTAATAAATCAAATATTTAGAAAAATATAAATTTTGTAATTAATATTTTCAAAATAAGCATACAACTTTTATTTATTTATTTTATCCATTTAATAGAAAGGCAAGCTTAAAAATAAAAAAATTTCTCTGAATTTTACTAAATTATTTATCTATTTTTATTCATTTGTTGTGTCAAAATCATATTTTATTATTTTATCAGTTACTATTATTTGAAATTTATGTACCCTTTTAATAAAAATTATGTCTATCTATCTCTACTACTTAAGAAAAGAATATTATATTATAGCATCACTTGAAAACCATACATAAAATTTTATTTCTTTATTATTTTTATTTATTAGAATTAACATATAAAATATAAGGTTTTATATCTTTTTAAGATATTATTAAGATATTTAATTTTTAACAAGATGTTATACATTAATTTAAGATAGTATTTTTAAGTACTCCTTAATATGTTTTTCTTAAAATTAATAATTTTAATATGAAACGAGTGATTATAAATTAATTATATATAAATTAGACTTATTTTTAACTATTAATGAAATAAACTAGATAGAATAGTATAATATCTTTGCTATTAATTTCTGTCTTTTGAATATTATGGTAGAGAAAAGAATTTATTATTAAAAGATAGGTTAGTCACTTACAAGCAAGATTGAAGGAGAATAATAAATAAATAAAGTGAAGATTAAAGTTAAAAATAAAAGAAACAAATAATTTTAATTAATATTATATAAAATATAAGAAAGTGAAGAGAAAGTTAAACCTTTCTATACATTCATTATTTTGACTCAATAAATAACATAGAAATGAGCAGTGACGACGAAAAATAAATGAAAAAGGCTGCAAATAAGTCAGCTAAGGGAGCAAAAAAGGAAGAACCTCCTAAAAAATAAGAAGCCCCAAAGAAGGGAAAAAAGAAGCATGATGAGAGCGATGATGAAGAAGTTCAAGTTCCCTAATAGTAATAAATTTCTGATGACGAAGATGATAATAAAAAAGGAAAAAAGGCTGCCAAGAATACCAAAAAGGAAGAAGCTCCTAAAAAAGATGCAGCTAAGAAAGGAAAGAAGAAAAATGATGATGATAGTGAAGATGAAAATGCTAAACATAAAGCTCCTTCAGATAATGAAGATGATGAAGAAGACAATAAAAAAGGTAAAAAAGCTCCTAAGGGTGCAAAGAAGGAAGAACCTTAAAAAAAGGTTGAACCAAAGAAGGCATCGAAAAAGAAATAAGATGATAGCGATGAAGAAGATGAACCTAAATAATAAGTTAAATAATAAGATGATAATGATGATGAAGAAGATAACAAAAAGGGAAAAAAATCTTCTAAGGTTGCTACCAAAAAAGAGGATCCTCCTAAAAAAGTAGAAACCAAGAAAGGAGGCAAGAAAAAGCATGATGATAGTGATGATGAAGATGTTTAGCCAGCCCATAAAGTTGCTTCTGATGATGAAGATGAAGAAGATAACAAAAAGGGCAAGAAATCAGCTAAAAGCGCTCCTAAAAAGGAAGAGCTTTCTAAAAAGGTAGAACCCAAAAAAGCTTCTAAAAAGAAACATGATGAAAGTGAAGATGAACAAGAAAATAAGCAACCAGCTAAACATGATTCAGATGACGAAGATGATGATGACAATAAGAAAGGAAAGAAAGCTGCTAAGGGAGCTGCCAAAAAGGAAGAACCTATTAAAAAGGTTGATCATAAAAAGGGAGGTAAAAAGAAACATGGCGAGAGCGATGATGAAGAAGAGCCTGTCAAAAAAGTAGAACCCAAAAAAGGTGGTAAAAAGAAACACGGTGATAGCGATGATGAAGAGGAAGCTAAGCCAACACATTCTAAGCAAGCTTAATCTGATGATGAAGATGAAGGAGATGCTAAAAAGGGAAAAAAAACATAAAAAAAGGAAGAACCTGTTAAGAAGGTAGATACTCATAAGAAAGCTAATAAAAAGAAATAAGATGATAGTGATGACGAAGATAAATAATAGAGTGATAAAGAAGAAGAAAGCTCAAAGCCTAAAGGATAAAATAAGAAAGCTCCCTTTTAACCATATGCCAAAAAGAATGAAGCTCCTAAAAAAGGAGCTCCTAAGAAAAAATAAGAGGATGATGAAGAAAATGAAGATGGATAGGGAGGAGATGATGACTTTTAGGTTGCTTAACATTCTTCTAAAAAGGCTAACGAAAAGGCCAAGAAAGAGTTGATTTAACAAAAGAAGTTATTGTAAGCTACAGGAAAGAGTTAACCTCAATAGGCTGCTAAAAAACCTTCTAATAATTAATTTGCAGCTGCTGCAAGTTCAGAGGAAAGTGAAGAAGAATCTGAAGAAGAGGAAGTCAAGCCTTCAAAGCAATCTAAGAAGCAAGAACCTCAAAAGAAGGCTGCTTAAAAGAAATAAGACGATAAGAAAAATATGTTTGCTTTCTCAGGTAGTGAAGAAGAAGAGTCTGAAGAAGAATCAGAAGAAGATGAAATAGATGAAGAAGAACTTGAAAAAGAAAGATTGAGAAAGGAAGAAGAGGAAAGAAAGAAGAAAGAAGAAATGGAAAGAAAAAGAAAGGAGGAAGAAGAAAGGAAAAAGGCTGCAGCTGAAAAGAAAAGACTTCAATAGGAGGCAAAGAAAAAGCAAGAAGAAGATGAACTTGCTGCTTTGCTTGCAGCTGTTAATTCCAACAAAAAGTAAGAATCAAAACCTAAGGAAGAAGCTGCTACTGCTGAAGGTTAATAAGAACAAGAAGGTGAAGATTAAGAAGGTGGTGAAAAGAAGCTTTCTAAAGCATAGCAAAAGAAGCTTAAGGAAAAATAAAAGAAAGAAGCTCTTGCTACAGGTTAAGCTACTGAAGCTACTGAAGCTCCCACTGCTACCTCAGCTGCTAATGATAAGAAAAAGAAGGCTCCTGCTTTAAGCAAAGCTGCACAAGCTGCTCTTGAAAAGTAAGCTAAATTGCAAAAAGAAAAGGAAGAAAAGGAAAGACTCGAAGCTGAACAAAAAAGAATCGAAGAAGAAGAAAGAAAAAGAGAGGAAGAAGAAAAGAAGAGAATTGAAGAAGAGAAAAAGAAATTGAAAGAGTAAAAGAAAAAATTGAAAAAGGAAGGTTTGATCAAGACCAAGGAATAATTAGAAAAAGAAGAAGCTGATAGAATCAAAAAAGAAGCTTTACTTAAATCTTTGGGTGTGAGTGTTCCAAAAGTAGAAGAATTAAAGTAAGTCATTTAATCTGAAATAAAGCCAGCTGCTCCCAAGAAGAAGAAGGTTGAAAAAGATCCTTTCGGATTTGTAATCAAAAAAGAAGAAAAAGTCGAAGAAAAGGTTGAGGAAAAGGTTTTATAATTTGAAGGTGATGATTGGGAAGCTATGATGGAACCTGCAGTTTCAGAACCTCAAAAATAAGATTCTGAATAGAAGTAAGAACAATTAACTTTGGCAGAAAAGGATTCAACACAATCTAACAACACTGACTAGACTGATGACTCCAAAAACATTGATAGAAAAAAACTCTCAAAGAAGGAGCTTGCCGAATTAGAAAAGGCTGAAAAAGAAGCTAAGAAAGCTGCCAGAGATGAAAAAATTTTACAAGGATAAAAGAAAGCAAAGAAGTTAGAAGAGAAGAAGCCTGAAGAAAAGAAGGAAATTCTCAGATCTCCTATTGTTTGTATCTTGGGTCACGTTGATACTGGTAAAACTACTCTCCTTGATAAACTCCGTCGTACTAATGTAAACTATTTTTTATTTTTATTTTTATCTTTGACCTAAAAATAAATATTTTAATATCTAAAATAAAGGTCTAAGGTGGTGAAGCTGGTGGTATTACTTAATAAATCGGTGCTACATATTTCCCTGGCCCAAACATCGCTGTTGAAATCGAAAAATGTAATGAACATTATCCTGTTGATCTCAAGGCTCCTGGTTTGCTTGTTATTGATACTCCTGGTCACGAAAGTTTCTCCAATCTCAGAACTAGAGGTTCATCACTTTGTGATTTCGCTATTTTGGTTATTGATCTTATGCACGGTCTTGAACAATAAACTTTGGAATCTCTCAATCTATTGAGAATGAGAAAGACTCCTTTCGTCATTGCTTTGAACAAAATCGATAGAACCTACAATTGGAAAACAGACGAATTTGCTTCTTCTTACGTTAGCTTGAAAAATCAATCTAAAGAAAACTAAAATGATTTTAATCATCGTTATCAACAAGTAAATTAACAATCAAATTAAAAAATAATATTTTTTCAATTTATCTATTTTTAAAAATAAAGATTATCACTCAATTAGCTGAAAACTCCTTCAACGCAGCTTTGTATTGGGATAATCCTGATCCTAAAACTTATTTCCCTATTGTACCCACATCTGGTGTTACTGGTGAAGGTATTCCTGATCTCTTATCAGTTATCATCAAGTACACAAGTATGTATATGAAATCAAGAATGGTTGTCAAGGAAGATGCCTTCAACTGTACAGTTATGGAAGTCAAGAAGATTGATGGTTTGGGTGTAACAATTGATGCTATTCTTGTTGATGGTACAATCAGATAGGATGATAAAATAGTACTTTTAGGTTTTAATGGGCCAATAAAAACGAAAATTAGAGCACTGTTGACTCCACATCCCATGAAAGAAATGAGAGTCAAAGGTGAATACGAACACCACGATGTAATTAATTCATTAACCATTATTTAGTTTTTTTAATAATTAAATCTATATATGAGTTATTTTTAATTTGTTAAATTTCATGATTATTGACTTTTTCAAAAATTTTAAGTGATTAATGATATATAATGTTATTAAATAGTTTATTCATGCTTCTATGGGTATTAAAATCTCTGCTCCTGATCTTGAAGAAGCTGTTGCTGGTTCTCAATTATATTTGGCTAACACTGAAGATGAAGAACAAACAGCTATTGATTTAGTTATGAGTGATTACGATTAAGTTAAAAAGAAAGTCAAGCTTGTAAATATGGGTGTTGGTGTTGCAGCCTCTACTTTGGGTTCATTAGAAGCCTTGTTAAACTTCTTGGAAAAGGAAAAGATTCCAGTTTCATATGTATCAGTTGGTCCTGTATCAAAGGATGACATTACAAAAGCACTTAAGTCTGTCTTAGCAGATGATCCAAGCAAAAGAAAGAAGGAGTATGCTTGTATGCTTGTTTTCGACGTTAAAGTTCTTCCTGATGCCTAGAAATACGCCGAAGAAAATGGTGTTAAAATCTTTACTGCTAATATTATTTATCATTTGTAAGACCACTATGTTAAATTCGTTAAGGAATGTGAAGAAGAGAGAAAGAAGGAAGAAGGTAAACTTGCTGTTTTCCCATGTCTTATTAAGGTAAATTTATTTTATATTTGTACAGAATTTAATTCAGCTTATATTTAAATAGCCATTACAATTCTTCAACAAAGCTGAACCTATTATTATGGGTGTTGATATCGAAAGAGGTACATTGAAACCTGGTACATAAGTTTGTCTCTTCAATAACACAAAGTTGAAAATTGGTGTTGTCGAATCTATTGAAGTTAATAAAAAATCCATTCCTTTTGCCAAGAAGGAAACAGGTAGTGTAGCTATCAGAATTGGAGGTACTGGTAACATTTTAGCAGGAAGACATTTCACAGAAAAAGACTATTTAGTATCTATGGTAATATAATTAATTAATAATATTATTTTAACAACCTAATCATTCTTTCTTTATTAATTTAGATAAACAGAAGATCAATCGATGCATTAAAGGAGCATTATAGAGATGAAGTAACTAAAGACGAATGGCTCTTTATTAAGGAAAAGCTTAAGCCTTTCTTCAATATTCTTTGATGAAACTAGTTAAATTATTTAAATCAATATTATCAAATATATAGTTTTATATAAGCATATCAAGTATGTATTCAAATTTAAAAAATAATAATGTTTTCAATACTAATCAATTCATTATCTAATTAGTTAGTAATAAGTCAATTTATCTATCTCTTTACCAAATTATACAACCATTATTAATTTTTGGTGTATTTCTATAAAATACTAATTAATCTAACTTAGTCATTCAAACTTATAAAATATATTTCTGTATATTCTATTAACTATTGGTAGCTCGATTAGCTCAGCTGGTTAGAGCATGCGGCTGTTAACCGCAAGGTCGTAGGTTCGATCCCTACATCGAGCGCTTTTTATCTATATTTTTTTAACTAAAATTAATAAGCTTAATTATCACATTTATAAATCTAAACTTTCCAACAAAAAAAAAAAAAGATAATAAACAGATATTTTTATTTTAAAACATTTAAAATTAGAAATAAAATTTTGATTTAAATTAACTTTCATGAGTTTTATTTATCAATAAGCAAAAAAAATTTGTTTAAAATTAATTTTATTTAAATAATTTTTACTGTTTTTAATTCTAATGTAAATTATTAATTCTTAATAACCATAAAAAAAAATAACTAATAAATAAATAAATAACTTTTGAATGTTTTTGGGTATATTAGAGCTATTAAGTAATTTATATAAAACTATATCTATATTTTTAAATCAAATATTAATTAGAGTAAAAAAATAAATATTTTATAGAAGCAGTTTTTTCACCAGTCAGAAAAATTAAAATTTTTTCTGTGCTTTTCCTTTGGTAGTATATCATAATTTGAATTTTTAGGATCAGTAAGCATGCTTGCTAAGCCAGCAGATTTTATTTTAGGCTTTTCTTCAGTTTCAGCAAGTTTAGGTAAAATAAATTTATCATCATTGCTAATCCATCTCTCGTGCTCTCTTTCTTTTTCTGAAGCTTTACGTTTTTCTTCTTTCAGCTTTTCTCTTTTTTATTCCTACATTTTGACTATGACTTATCTAAAAGGATTTTCAACTACTATGATTTTCTCAATAGTTATTGGAGTCTTTTTTATTATTAAAAAATTAATTAAATATTTATTCCAAAATAACTTTGTTTACTGCTGGTTTTTCTCCATTTACTGGATGGGTATTTATTTTATGTAAGGTTAATTGGTTTCCAATTACTTCACCAAAAGCATTATGCTGCTCATCTAACCATGCACACTCTCCAAGAGTTATAAAGCTTTTTAAAAAAATAGGTTAATTCACACTACCAAAAAATTATTCTATCTAAATTACAATTAAGATGCATTTGTGTTTGGCCCTGAATTTGCCATACTTAGAATACCTGGCTTGCTATGTCTAATTTTAGCATGGAATTCATCTTCAAATTTATATCCGAAAATTGACTCGCCACCTCTTCCAGTACCAGTTGGATCTCCTCCTTGAATCTATTTTAATAATAAAGGTAAGTTTATTTCAATCATTATTTAAAACGTGAATCTATTTTACCATGAAGTCCTTTACTAATCTGTGGAATTTAATTCCGTTATAATAACCTTTTTCACACAATTCGAGGAAATTTTCAGATGTTTTAGGAACAAAATTTGCATGAATCATGCATTATATTTCTCCTATATTAGTTATAATATTTACATAGCCCTTCATTTATTTATTTTTGACCTAATCATGAATAATCTTTCTAATTTCTGTTTCATTTAAACTTCTGAATTCTAAACTTCCTTATTCTCTCATAACTGCAGAGGCTGTACTTGTAACACTGACAGCAACATCACTAGTAGTTTCTCTCTAATGAATGAAATCTCTGTTTCTAATAGCTGATTTTATAAAATCAGCAACAGGAATTTGCTCTCCTTTTTCAAGTTTCTCTAATTCTTCCTTTCTCTATTTCCTAATTTATTCTATTTCTTCATCGTCTTTCTTTTTCTGTTCAAGATTTTCTTACTATTAATATAATTTTAAAGAAACTCTAAAATAAACTCAAAAATTAATTTATTATAAATATTAAAATACCTTTTGTTTTTCTTAATATTTGGTAAGAATATTTTTTGTAGCTTCATTCTTATTGATAAAGGCATCATTTCCTTTATCTTTCAATTCAACTTCAATATTATTTCTTATATAATCAAAATTTTTGATAGTTCTATTTTCTAAATTTTTAGGATCATTCAAAGTTATGATGTCTTTTGGTGTGAATTTTTCTCCAGTCATTAAATCTTACCAATACTTTGCTTCTCTGTTAAGTTTATCAACTGTATCGAAGCTGTATACATTGCCTGAAGTCTTAATTGTTACAATGTGAGTATGGTCAGTGAATACTTTAAAAGAAATTGGATCTTAATATTCACCATTATCATTTTTAGAAAATTTCAAAGTAATTAAATCGCTAATTTTTAAATCCTCGCCTGTGACTGGATTTTTTTTATACTTTTTTATGTAAGGAATGATGCTCCTTTTTATAAATTATAAGTTAATATTTAGTTATTCATCAAAATAAGTAATTATAATAAAAAAGCAAGTAGATTTTACATAATATCAAATACAATTCCATCTGGAGAACATACAGGATTTTTAAAAGGAGTTAAGCTCAAACTACAGCAAAAAAATGGTAATTTACTCATAGGAACTTTTTCTGGATCTTTTTTACCACCCCATTCTATTATTAATAAGTAAAAATATTTCAAAATATAAATTTATTCATACTTAATAACTGTTAAAAAGTATTAAAATAACATTATTAATTTACCCATTTTATGCTCGGTGTATGAAATAAACATACGATCTTTAGTGTGTCTATGTTTTCCCATTTTATCTGATTTACTAAAACTAGGAATATATGCTAAATTATAATACCTTCAAATAACTTTTTATCAAATTTTTTGATAAATTAAGATTTTTTGTTAGTTAACTACTATATAAATTGAATATACTGGTGATATGTCTATTTGTTTAATATAACAAAAATTTTAGCTTTTTAATTATTCTACATAAACCACAAACGAAATAAGACATACACATACAAGCATAAGCATAAGCTCAAACTTAAAAATACTAAGTAATTAATAAAAAATTATTTTTTTTTGATATTGATAAGATTTTTTAACTATTTAATTATAAATGAATAGCAAATTGAATTTAATAATTAAAGAAAATGATTAATAATTTATTTATTTATTTAGAAATAATTCTAACCTACATACATACATATTCACTTCTCATTTAAGAAACAAAATAAATTTAGTATAAATTAAAATAAAGATAATATTAAATTTGATATATTAGAAAGTAAGTGGTATATTAAACAAACAAGTAGATAAATAGATAGATAGATATTTAGCTTATTTGTTTTATTTATACAATTTTAATTTATTTATTTAAGTTTATTTATCATACCCTGTTTTTACTAAACATTAAAATTCAAAATTATTTAAAATTAATCCAATCAATCGTTCCAACTAAAGATTAATCAGTCAGTTTTTTTACTCACAGATACTTCTTTATCTTAATGGAACAAGAAGTAAACAACTAATACTAAAAATCCAATCAGAGTAGCCCAAGTACTAAAGTAGTAAGGATAAGCTTGTTCTAAATATCTAGGATATTCATTGTGCTTAAATGGTCTAACAGTAACCTATTAATTAATTATTTATAGATGAATAATAATTAAAATTTAATTAAATATGTACCTTATTAGATTCTTCAATAAAAGTAAATCCAGGCTTTTGATATTTGACCTTAAGTTTGAAGATACCATGCTTGTCAGGAATCTTTTCAATAAAAAAAATAAGTAAAATTTATGATTTTTAGTAAATTTTTTAATTATTTTAAAAGTTTTAAAAAGATACTCAATTTATTTATAAATTTATCTTAATTAAAAAATAATTTTTGATTTAATTTTTTTTATTTAGTAAATTGAAAGCATAAAAAAAGTTAATTAATTTTTAATAATCTTATTAAAATTTACCTAGAAGCTTGCTTTATAGACTTGTGTTTTTCCTTCTCTTGTGAGAGTTTATCTGATATAAGGGTCAAGCATAATAAATTCAAGAACAATATCGTCGGTAATGTAAGGAACCCAACTATTTTTTTTCTAGCTGTATGTGAAAATTTCAATAGAGTAATCTAAGAAATCTTTAATTCTATATTCGTTAGAATTTTCTTTTTCTCCTTTTCTAGTGTATGTGATTTTTCCAACCTTGAGAACACCATTTAAACCGAAGTTCCAGTCAATAACATTATTAACAAATTATCTGTTAGCATATTTTCTATTGTTTTTGATAAAATTTTAGATTAAAAATAATTTATTTTTGGTTTGCTTACTCATTTTTATAGAATTCGTTGCTCAACATTTCGATTGAACCTGTAAGGACAGCTCTGGCATTGTTTCTACCCTATATAATGAAAAAATTATAAAATATGCTAAGTAATGATGAATTAATTACTTAAGTAGCAGACACAAGGATAACTTAGCTTCCTGAGTTTACTGATTCTCTTCTCTCTTAAGAATAGGAGTAAGTAGTATCTTCACCACGTAAAACGCCATAAACTTAGTAAGTTTCGTATGGAGTCATAGTCAAACCAGCACCTCTATAAAGAATAGGCTTATCTAATTAGGGACAGAATACTTCTTGTTTTATTATATTTTTAGAATAAACATAACTGTGATCTTACTCAGAATCCTTATTAAAGTGATCTTAAACTCTTGAACTCTAAAGTAAATGATAAAATAATTTAGTTTAACAAAATTTTCTAATAATTATTGTAAAATAAAATTTTTATTAATTTCTTAAAATAGTCACGAACAATGTTATTAATTTTAGTAAAAACTTATTTATAGTTATTATTTGCAATTAATAGATTTTTAAATTGAGTATTGTTTATATATTTTAATTTAATCTTAGCATTTTTCCTAATAAATGCAAATCGTTTTTAAGATCTTTATGCTATTTAATTACATTTTTTTTAATCTTAGAAAATAATCCTTTTAAATAGCAACTATTTTATATACAAATTAGATGTAATTTTTAAAAGAGTATTCTTGCAATGCAATCACTTATCTATCTATCTAATAGTGGTGATTTACTTACTTTTTCTATTTAAAAGTATTTATTTTAATTTTTGATTTCTATTCGCTTTTAGAAATTAATTCCTTCTCATATTTAAAGTTTATTTCTTTATTTTTTCTCATTTTATTTAGATTCAACAAATATAAAATGATAATTTATTTTTTACATATTCATCAATATCAACACCAAATTCGTTGTATAATTAACGGATTGTCTTTGAAGAGTCAATATCAGTAGCAATAAAAACGTTACGGCCTGAATCGAAAAACTCAGCAATTTTATTTTTGGTTAAACCCTTGCCATCTTTGATTATAAAGTAATAAGATATTAAATAAAGATGATCAAATAAATTTAGAATTAAATTTAATTAAGTTAAGATAAATATTATTAAAATTGTTTAGAATTGAGATATTTAAATGATTACCCATATGTGAGGAGGCAATAACAATCATTTAATCATAATTATATTCACCATAAGTCAATAACTTGATAGTAGCTGAGTTTAATGCTCTAAAATCTAAATCGTATCCCTTGGCTAATTATAAAATAAAAAGAGTTAAATTACTAAAATTTAAATAAATTTAAATGTCTATTTGATAGCAGCTTCCATTTAAGAATTTATGTACTAGAATTAAAGAGAATGAAAAAAATATTTGATCCATTCAATTAATTATTTAATATGCTAACTAACTAACAATTAATGTCTAATTACATCTAAGGTCATTAAAGAATGTTGAGTGAGTATGTTAATATGAAGAACTATCAACAACAACAATAACTCTATTTTTGAGCAAGCTTTCGCAATATACACCTGCAAAGAGACAAACCAAAATGGCTGCTAAGAATATGTTTCTGCTAAGTTTAATATTCATTTTGCTTTTAATTATTTGCAATGAAAATTAAATATTTGTAATTAATATCTATTAATTAATTAAAAAGATTTCAATAGAATTTATTTATTTATTTAATAAATAAGGATATGAAATACATTAAAAGATATGAGAAAAGCAAACAATCAATCAAACAAAAATACATACAATTATTTAATTAATAATACACACATAAATAAATAAATAAATAATAATTTACAAAGTCAGTTTTTATGTATTAAAATTTACTACTTTCTAATTCAGCATATATTTTAGTAGCCCAATTAATGCTTCAAAGCGTGTTTGAATAATATTGGTTAGTTGAATCTAATGAAAATTTCAATCTAAACAAATTTTAAATAAAAATACAATATCTTTTATAATCAATCTTTCTTTCATAAAAAAGCTTTATTAGTAATAATCATCAATCTTGCTTATTGATCAAAAATTAGATTAAAGTCAGTTATTGCCTTCTTTATATTTATCTGAATTTATTGCAAAAATATATTATTAAAACATATAAGAATTACCAAATGTGATATTTTTAAAAAAAATATTTTCCTTAAAATTAAAAATTTTTAAATGCATTTTTATTTATTTAATTTTAGCTGCTTTAATTTATTAAATTATTTTAAATAAAGATTTTTTTTTAATTCATCCTTAAAATATTATTCAATAATAAAATATTATTTAATAAATAATTAATTATAAAAAGCAAATATTCTTTAATTTTATTTCAGTTTAAAAAATTTAACAAAATCTTATTAGACTATTTACTTTTGAATTTAATAATAATTTCAATAAAATATGTCAAAAGAAAGATAAATATAGATTATTTATGCAATCTTATTTAAATAACATAATGCTTTAATTAGCTTTATAATTTCATTTTTTTCTTGAATAAAATTTCATAAAATCAAATTTATTTAATAGTAGATATGAAGTAAAATAAAATGAATACAATAAAAATCTTTTATTGGAAAAAAAATTACTAAATTAGAAAATTGGTTAGTTTATTATAAACCTATTGACAGACAAAACGTATATTTTATTATTAAATATGGATTATTTATAGATAAAATATTTATTATTTTAATTTACTTTATATTGTGATCATATGAAATAAAAAAATATTAATAAAAAATTTTATTTTAAACAAGCTAATTCTAGTATAAAAATATAGATTAGTTGAATATTGAATTGAATTTTTTTAAATACAATTAAATAAATTATGCTTGATGAAAATTTAATTAGATTTTTGTTAATATATTATTTAGACTTCTACAAAAAGATACGAAATTAATATATACATTTGTTTGTTTGTTTGTTTTTTTATTTGATTTTTTATTTATTTAATTATTTACATTCAATGTTTAAGAATAATTATTAGATATAATATTAGCAAATGAATAGGTTATTTGACCTAGTTTGAAATTTTACTTGTTTAATTAGGTTTTCATTTTAGTTTTTTGGGTAAGAAAAGTCCGCTAAACTCAGGAGTGGATGTATATTCGTGAATGCCTTTCCATTTTGCAAGACAAGTTTCTAAATTATTTTTAAAATTAGCAAATTTACAAAAGGATTTCATTAATGCTGATAAATGTCTTCAATATTTAAAAAAAATAAGTATAAAATGATACTCAGACAGTTTTAGAATTTTTCATCAGGCTTTTTATGCTTAGGTTCACAATAAAGAAAACAACTTTTTAATTATTTAAAAGTATTTGCTTAATTATTTTAAAGTAGAAGATAATTTATTTACTGCTCAGATTCCTCAATATAGTCTTTGTTGTTTGGCTTTGCAGCAGTAAACATAATTTTTTTATTATATATTGGCTTAAGAAGTATTAAACTATCTTGCTTGTTAAAATCTTCGTAGCTTTTTAAATTAAAATATGGATGTTCTCCCATAATTTCTAAATATTAATTATTCTTGTATGATCTGCCTTTTTTAGAATATTTTTTCTAAGAATTTCTAAAAGAATGTTATAATTAATATTAAGTTTACTTTCTTCAAAAATATTCAAAATTTTAATGTAAATTTTTTTGTTTAATTGATTGATTTATTTATTTATTGATAAGGTTCCATAATTTTAATTATTAATGAAATGCAGTTAAAAAATATATCAATTCGTCTTTCAACAATTTATATAAAACATTTGATAATATGAGTAAGCTGAAATTTTTATTTACTAGACTTGATATTTTTGAATTCCGATATGATCAAACAATATTTTTATAAATTAAAATAGAAATGCAGAACTTAATGCGTAAAATTTATGAATTAAACCAATTAATAAAGAATTAATTTACTTAATGAATATTTAATCGATTGATTCAGTGAAATATAAATATATATATTAATTATTATTTCTTACTTTCAAATATTTGATAAAGTTATCTATAGTTTAGCAATAGTTTATTCAAGCAAAAATACACTTATCTGCAATGGCCAATCAATCATAGTCAAATTGTAAGTTAACATTTTAAAATAAGATTGATTTAACAATTTTATTTGTTTCAAGCAAGTTTATCATTTCTACTAAATTTTATTTCTTTGTTATTGCTTAAATATTGATAATACTAAATATAATTATTCTAAAATAGCTGATGAGTTGGCTCTATAATAGATAAATTAGGCTAATGAATAATTAGAGGAATTATAAAATTAAATTAAATCTAGAAAAGCTTTATTAGAAGCGCTAGGTGGTGAAGTAATCGCATTATAATTACCAAGAATTAAATTCAATTTAGTGATTTTTAGAAAATCATTTAATTTTACATTAATAGAGCAAATTCGATGAGGAGAAGTATTTGATTTTGATAAAGACTCTAGAAAATTCAATGCAAGAAAAGGAATAACTTGCATAAAAATAATAGGAAACGTAATAAATATTTAATGAGCTATGATTATTTTCAATATATTTTGAATAATATTTATTGGTTAATATTTAAATGAAACTGACATAAATGCAAAAATATTCTTACTATTTAGCAATCAATCAATCTTTATTCTTTATTTAACTAAAATAATGAATTTCTATAAATAAATACAATAATTTATTGATTATTTAATTGAATAGAACTACGCTAAATATTTAATTATTACTTATTATATTTAATGCAAATTTAGTATCGACCATCAAATCTAACTCTTAGATGAAAAAGATCAATTATTAAATACTATTTAGATCGAAGTAATTAAAATATTTTTGAATTGTAAACTGTGAACAATTAAAAATATTAAAATAAGCTTTAATCACTGAAAGAAGCATCTGCTAAATAAGTTGAAAGTTTGCAATAAGCTGATTAGCAAATTAATGTAAAAAATTTATAAAAAACATTAATTCATCAAAAAAAATCTGATTATTTTATTTTTTAGTAATTAAAATTAGAGAAGGAATCTATAAATTAAAATTTATTGGACCTTTAAAAAGAAAATACAGACAAAGAAAAAAACATCAAAGAACAGGAAGAAGTAACCTCTTATAATATTATTATTAAAGTTTATAATATTTTTATTTAGCAATTACAATCTTTACAGAAGAAGTACAATGAAGCTGTGGAAGCAAAGTATTTATAAAATTAATTGTTTTAGGTTAGTAGTTTATTAATTTTTAAATATTTAGAAATAGGAGATAATCAATAGAGAAGAGTATAAGTTCAACAAAATTAAAATCAAAACCAAGTATGGCTTAAAAGAGCCAGTATGAGATTATGCTTGATAAAGAGTAAGATAAAGGAATTATATCAGATCTTCAATAGAGGATTCAAGAATTGGAAAAATAAAATTTCTAGCTTAAAGAACAAACAGGGTATAACTTTGTTTATTGATAATTTCTAAATATTAAGATTTATTTTTTTTATTTAGATTTTAGAAAATCAAAATAGAGCAATATGAGTCTAGTGAAGAAATTGTGAGTATAAAGAAACTGCTGGATGAAAAAGGAGAGAAAAACAAACAATTATAGGAGAAAATAATAGAATTAGAATCTTAAATAGCCAAAACTTTGTAAGCATGCATTTGGATTAATTTTAGCTAAATTATTTTAACTTTAGGGCAGGCGATGAAGAATAAGGAGGAGATTAAAAAGTTAAGTAAATAGAGTAAGAACTCAAGTAAAGTTTGCTTAAATAATGAAGATTTTTAAATTTATTTCGCTTATGGAAAAAAAAAGGATTGTGTTAGAATTAGAATAAAAAAAAAATGAAGAATTTTGCAATCAAATAGATATTATGAACTAAAAAAACTCACTTCTTGTTCAAGTAATAATAATTGTTCTATCATTTATTTATTTATTTTTGAAAGGAGATTTTGTTAATGATGTATTTATTATTTTTCCATAATAAAACAACTTGAAATTTATTTTAATTTCTAAGAATTATCGTTTTTTGTTGATTGATTAATGATTTTATTAACTGGATAAAAAAAATTAACTCTTGAAGGGCGTTTTTATTAAACTTAAAGTTTTTTTATTAAAATAAATTTATTTTTAAAGGAAATAAAAATGTTGAATGAAAATATGAGCTTTATGTAGAAAAATTAAAATGAACTTGCTGAATAAAAAGATTTATAGATCAATTAGATGATGCTTAGGTTAAGTTAATTAGAACAGGCACTGTAAGATAAATAAAATGAAATTGAACTTTTACAAAATGAAAGTGAAGAAAAGCTAAAGAAAATACCTTAACTATCTAGTTTGGTTTAAGAACTGAATAATTAAGTATAAGCATTAAATTAGTAGATAGAAGAGGAGAAGTAAAAACATATTAAGAATGATCAAGAATACCAAAATAAAATATAAAACTTGTCTCATAATTATGAAAATAAAATTCAAAATTTGTAGGAAAGCTATACCAAAATGAAAAATTAAGTATAAATTAATATTTAAATTAAAATTAACTTATTTCTTGCTAGCTAATAGAAGAGAGAAACACTCATAAGTCAAAATAAGAAGATTTCGACCATTAACTCTTAGAAAAAGAACTTGAAATATAAAATTTAAAATCAGAAGTTGAGGTTATGGAAAAGTAATTTCAAAAATTGCTTATTTAGTATTACCTAAATATTTATATAAATTACTAATTTAGAATAAAGAATTAGCAAAGTACACTCATTACTAATTATAGAAAAACAATTTAAGAGACAAAAGAATAAATTGACCAAAAAATTAGTGAAGTAACTAAAATATTTTTATTTATTTAGCTTATTTTAATTTAAATATTTCGTTTTAATAAACCAAATTTATTTTTTCCATTAATGATTAAATTAATTAAAAAAAATTTTTTTAAATGTAAGTAATTTAATTGATTTAAAAATTTTAAAAAATATAAGTGATTTAATTATTTATCTGGATTTTATAAATTTATAATTTATTTTTTTTTATTCTTAAATTTTAGTTTAGATTAGTTTTTAAATTAAATATTACTACAGCTTTATTAAAATAAGAATTAATCATTTTTTTTGCTTTAATTTTGAATAATTTATTAGCTAGACGAGACTAAATTCATAAAAGAATAATAAGATTAGGATCTTGAAGAGTTGAGGGAGTAAAATAACCAAAAAGAAAATAAAGTAAATTGATTATTTAATAATACTTTTATTGACTGTAATTTATTAGCTAAAATAACTTGCTGCAAAAATGAGATAAATTCAGGATAAGCTATCATAAAAAGAAGATGAATCAATAAATTTTAATAAGATAAAAATGATGTTTTACAATGATGTAATTAATTAGTTAATTTACAGCATTAGAATATAATTCAACTATTTTTTTTAATTAAGAACGAAAGGCTGAAAACTAATTTGGTAAAAGCTTAGAAATAACTATAAGAGTACCAAAAAAAGATATTACCTTGTATTAATTTCATTTATTTATTAAAATATGATGCTCAATAATTCATTAATTTTAAAAATAAATTAAGAAATAAAGAAATCTCAAGAAGAAAAAGATAATGAAGTAAAAATGGTGAGAGATATGCTTAAATCCCAATAAACACTTCTAAGAGTAAAAGAAAATGACATAATTAGAATGAAATAAAAAATTAGTAAACTTGAAGCTTTAATAGATGAGTCCAGCAACATAAATGATAACAAATTCCATTAAAATAACAGTGTTTTTTCTAATAGGAAAGGAGAAAACAATAATATCAATCTACCACCTCTAAATGATGAAAATTAAGTCTCACCACTTACAAGTATTGAGTAAATTAGAAAGTAGAATCTTAAAAATTATCAAAATAGAATACTTGAATAGCAGAGAAATGTTTAGCTATTTGGAAAGAATTAATGTAAATTTAATTATTTTAGATTTTAAGGTTGATTTAAAATAATTAAATTAGTAAAGCATAGCTCTTTGCCCTCTTCATATGCAAATTAGAATATATTTTAGTTCTAGCAAAACCCAATAGGTTAGCATAGTGTTTAAAATAAGAAAACTATGCTGAATCAAAACCCTTCTGGTAACTGGATTCCTTTTGATGAAAAAACAATTTAAGAAGGTATAGAGGATATTATTAATTAACAAAAAAAAGTAGAACTTCAAAAAAAGCTTTAATAAGGATTTGGCTTACCTGAAAAATAGACAGTTGAAGATGATTAGAGATGGACACCAGTATCTTCAAATAATGGAAGAGCACCAAGTAATTACTCACTCAACAATCAAAATATGTAGAACGACTCTCTTTTGATGAAGAAAAAGAACTACAATAGTGTTTTTGATCTAGCTGCTACAAAAGATGATATTAAAAATGCCCATCCTAATCCTTAATTTGTAATTTCTCCTAAATAAATCTTTTATTTTATATTTTATTTAAATAATTAAATAGAGTCTTTCACCAGTAAGAGTAAAAATACCAAGCATGTCAAAGAAAGGAGGAAATTATAAAATCATACACCCTGAAGAATAAAACCAAGAACAAAAAACAAGCAAATTTGAATAAATTGATAACTCTTCTACCGATAAAACAATAGATAATACACATGAAAAATAAAGGACAGCTGAAGAAAACTCTAAACAATAATCTCATACAGAAAATAACTCTGTAAGCTAAGCAGAAGATACTCATAAAGATGAGGAAGAGGATTAAGAAATTGAAGAAGAAAATGAATAGGAGTATAATAATTAAGATGAAGAATAAGATGACGATGATGATAAAGAAAAAGACAATTTAAGTAACAACGAGGAAGATGATGAAGATAAATAAGAAGAAGAGGAAGAATAAAATGACGAAAATGATTAAGATTGAAATCATAATTTTTAAACTTAATAATATTATTTTATATAAAATAAAATTTATTTATTTATCTCCTCTATCTTTTAATTTTAACTTATTTTATTTATTCATATCAATAACTTTTTGCAGGATATAAAAAATAGAAATTATATCAATCAATCAATAATAATAACTTATCCCATTTTATACTTCATTTTCATTATCATTTAAATTAAAAATAACTAATAGAGATATTATTTAAAAATATGATGAAAGCTAAAAAAATAATTAGAGTAAGTTATTATTTATTGAATGAAAATTAAATAAAAAAACCAATTCAAATATGGATAATAAATGTTCCTCTTTTATTTTTGTCAATTAATTTTTGGCACATAGAGTAGTTAATTTAAACAATTTTGCTAATATTTAAATCAATTTTAAATAAAAATAAATGGCTTGTTATTATTTAAGACCTCTCATATTTATTGAATAACTATTAAAATTTATTGTGGCTATGCTGCCATCAAAAAGCTAATTAACAGATAGCTAATAAAATACTCTAGTATTTCAAATATTTTCTAATTATATAAAAATTCATTTATCTTTAAAATAAAATTTTTTAGTATTTTAGATGCTAATTTATTGAAACAGAGAAAAATTGATTAGAAATATATTAATTAATAATGATAACTCTAATAAAAAAATATTTTAATTAATTACAATTTTTTATTTGATTAGAATATAATTTATACTAAATATAAGCTTATTTTTGCACTTTATATGTAGTATTTGTAAATAACAAGTTAATTACAATCTGATTGGCAATCTTTTTTGTATTTTTTAATTAATTTTAAAATAAGATTTTTTACTTTTTTGGTTGTAGACAATAAATATGTAATTAGTAGAATAGAATAATTAGGTCCTAGAATCATTTTTAAAAAGCGAATATAATATTTACAAATATTCTCTCTGTCATTATTTGAACGAACATGATTAAGTCAGCATATTTATTTGCATATATTATTTAAAACAAACAAAAACTTGCTTATGTTTGTTTTTCATTTCTCTCACTATCAATAACTTTGATTGATAGAAGCATTTTTCAATCAGCTAATTTTATTATCTGCATTTCATAGCAAAATTTTTTATTTCTTTGGTGTAATAATTCTTTTTTATATAGATTTTCGTCAATTCGTTCTATTTCCTGAAGCATATTATGGATAATAATTCTTCTGTAGCAGAAAGGTCTCGAAAAATTCAGCAATTAGTACAGCTTTGTTTTTAATTAAAATTCTTGAAGTTTGATTGATGTTCAATCCAATTTATTTTTGATTTCTATTTTTTAACAAAAGACTCTAAATAATGATTAAAATATGCACTTTATATCACACGGTATTCTTTACCATATTCTGCTTTGTAAAGATAACGAATAAGAAGTAACATTTAATTGAAAAATAATCTAAAAAATTTAATACTTTTTTATATTAATCGCTGCTAGCTCTTCTAATATTTAAAGACAATAAGAACTCAAGCGATGGAGGAATTCATAAACAAATTAATATGGGTATAGAAGTTAAAATTTGCTTAATTAATTTAATTGACTTGATAAATAATTATATAGATATAACAATTTGAGTTTGACGATTTGAAAGATCAGGCTGTTTACTAACTTGGGGCCATTTTAGAAACTCTACTGAAATATAATGAAATGTTTCGCTTGGATGAAGTTTTTTTTTACTACCTGAAGAATATTATTTAAGGAGATTTTTCAGAAAGAAACTTAACTTACTTTTCAAAAATAATAACTCTAATTTATGACAATATAGAAAGCATTAAAACATTTCAAGCAATTAACATTTTAGTATTCTTTAAAACCATTAAGTTACTAAATATTTTCATGTACGTAGACGATCCTAGCTTATCCGAATATAAGCAAATCATGATATTAATTATTTAAGTTATCTGGAATCATGATAAAATAGCTTGTCTCTCTCTTGGTAGAGATTTAGTTAGGCTGCTCTCCGATACCAATAAAGATGAGCTAGAATAAATTACAAAAGACTTACTAACAGTGCAACCTAATGGCGAGTAACCACAATAATAATTTAGAAATATTCTGTATAATATTTATTAATTTTATTAAACTGTTTAGTACTCTCTTAGATATGTTAATCAAAAATGTATACGTTAAGAAAGAATAAAAATATTTTATATATTCTGTTTTAATTCCTTGCAAACTAGAATATATGCTAGAGCCTATGCTAAGTGTAACCGAAAATTAATTAATTTTTTTATTTATTTACATTGTTCAAAACATTTTTTTTGAAATACTTTATTAATATAATATGTAAACTATCATTCATTTCTTATTAAAAGAATTTATTTTAAGATTTAATATTGTTGAAAACATTAAAATAATTTTATTTAAGTCAAATAGTTCTAGTGCAAACGAATACAGACTAAAATGGATTATGAAATAATATAAAACTCCTGAGTCCAATATTTAATTTTTATTTGTTGATATTATACGTTTTTTAATTCAAAACAACAACCAACAAAACCCAAATTGTATAGACTGTAAGCCTCAAATATTTTTATGGGCTCTTAACAATTCAGAGAATTTAGACCTCATTAAATCCCAGATTAAAGAAGCAATATTCCATGATTGGCTATTTTACAAGTATGTGAATATTTTATGAAACAAACTCACCATTAATATTTTTATCTTACTTTTTTAGCGAACAAGATGATTTTAAGCCTATTATCTCTGGCCTTTAATTTATAAATTGTCTTAAGGAACCAAAGATCATTCAAGAAATGCTAGAATTCATACTTCTTTACTACCAAAAGTTTAATCCAGCCTAGACTGATAAATATAGAAATTCAATTAGAAAATGCTTCTTAATAGGATAATAAGAAAAGTTTATGTAATTAAACAATTAAATTAAAATTTTAACAAACATAAAATATTTTACAATAAATTGATTCCTTTTTTATAGAAAAATAGATGATATTCTAATGAGAGTATCATTAAGCGACATAAGAAAAGAAATTAGACAGCTTTTAGATAACACATAAAATTCGGGAAATCAAATCTATGAATTATCAATTACTAATAATCTTCCAATCCCTTCTCAATCTGTTAAAGTTGACATTAACTCTTCCTCTGATGATGAAATCTACATTTCAGAAAATACCTAATTCAAGGTTTCTAGCAGATAAAAATTTGATGATGACGATGATGACGTAGATATGAAAGAAGAAGATTCTTCTAATTTTTACAATCCAAGTGATGTCCACATTGAAGTCCAAAATTAAAAGTATTCATACTAGCAAATGATCCCATAAGAACCAAAGGTTGAAAAAATATCTAGCAAATATAAAAATGTTAGAGGATATGATCCTCTAAATGTAGAAACTCCATATAGATTTAATGACTCAGAAAGTACTTCAAATGATATACAGTAAATTAGCGACATTTACAATCCAAGTGACATCAAACTTTAAGAGTAAATTATATTTATTTTCTAATTGCATTTTAAAAACTTAAAAAATTTGAAACCCAAAATAGCTTTAAAAAATTAACATGTAAAAATAAAAATAGGTACTGTAAATTATTTTTTTCAATTACAAAGATTTTAATAAATTTTAATAAAACTCTTTTAAAATTGATTTTAAAATATTTAAATAATTCTAACAAAGATAAATATTATAAAATTGATTAATTACAGTATATTTTTGTTAAATTTTACATTAATGATTGAATATCATTAATATATTTTTTACATAAATCATTTATTTTTAAAATATAAAGCAATTAAGCAAAGCAACCTTATACTGCTTGCAGTGTTACTTGTAGTACCCCAAACTTGGAAGAGGAAATAGAAGAATAACTGGAACCTTAATATGATTAGATAGAAGAAGAATTTGAAGAAATAGAAGTCACAGATTAAGCAGAAATGTATCTTCCTCAAGAATTTTATTCAAACTTTAGTGATGAAATCAATTAACTTGCTCAAAATCCATCCATCGAAAATTTGCAAGAATTTTTAAATGTATTTCATTTTTGTTTTCAATATAGAAATAAAAGTGTTTTTTTTTTGGAATTAGGAATTCATCAGACAAATGAAATCAAAGTCAAATTCTAAAAACGAAGCTGTAATGATTTAGTCAGCTGCGGCTTTAATTTATAATGTATTTCAATCCCACTTTGATGATTTAAATATAAGTAATTTTAAATTCAATTTTTATAACCAATTGCTTTAACTCCCGCTTTTTTATATTATTATCAAATCTTTTTTTCTTTTTTAGCCATAAAAAATAATTAAAATTTCTTTAATCCTCCAAAACTCAATAATTCAATTAAATTAAAAAAAATTTATCTATTTTAAGCTGCAAATTTAATAGTCGTTGTTATTAAATTCAATATTAGTTATTTAAGAGAATGCTTGTCTGGAGATTATCAATCAATTAGCAGATGCGCATAGAAAAGAAAATGACTCAGATTACAAAATGATGTTTGGAATTTTTGAATAGCTGAATATTATACATAATAACATGGCTGATTTCTTATTTATACAACTCTCAGCCGCATATTTATAAAAAGATAAACAAGTTGTTTTAGCTTCACTAAAAAAAATATATTTAAGTATAGTCTCTAAAGATAATCAAAACTCTTCTTCAAAAATTTAATTTGATGTAAAGGAAGAGATGAATAAAATATACTTAATTTTAGGACCAAAAAATTTCTAGACCCTCATCAAAAATGTAAATAAATATTTTTCAGAAGTAAAACTTTTTATTTAAATATTTTTATTATATTTCTTAGCTTGTTATTAATAGCTTTGATGTTGTTTTTCTAAATTTTATGTTTATGAAATCTATTTGCTTGTACTGCTCTTCGAGTTTTATTATAACTGAGCTGGTTCCCATTATAACTAACTTAAAACTATTCGCTTTCACTTCAGACCTAAATTAAACCTTCTCTAAAGCTTTTGCAATGGTAGAATATGAGCAAGATTCCTTTTGGAGAATTTATGAATCATATTTGTTAACAAATATAAAGAAGTAATTAATAATTTAATTTAGATATTTTATTGATATTAATTACAAAGCAACTTCTAAATAATTAATTAGACCATAAATCATAGAGAATGTTATTAAAGAAATTTTGATTTTCCTTTCTGATCCGTTTGTTTAAATAGATGATAATCTTTCTTTTTGGGGAAATCTATCCTCCTTTTTATCAAAATTTTTGAAGCAAAATAAAGATGTAACCAATTTATATTACAAACATTCTGTAAATTCGCTTAATTTTTCTAATCAAAAGATCACAATTATGAATTTATTTATTATGGACACTAATTAAGGAGAAAAATTTGGGTTCCTTCTCAAAAATGTTGATCAATCTGTCTTACTAGGTTTATTTAAAAAATTATTAGCTTCAGAAACGTTTAATCCTTAATGCTTGCCTTCTTTAATATGTAATTAATTTTATTATTTAAAATACCTACTTACAATAAAATCTCCATTTTGATTAGAAAATTGCATGTCATGGAAGAAATATGGTATAAAATTCAATTAGCAAGGATTCAAAGAATTTTTTGAGCCAAAGCTCTATAATAAATTATCATAACACTTATAAGTAATTATACAAATTCATATATTAATATACTTTATTAGATTTATTATTAATAATAAACATATTTTTATTATAGCAATCTGAGTTAAAACAGTACCAGACTAATCTAATGACATTACAAATTTAATAATGAATGACTCACTCACTCTCTCTCTATACAAAATTATTTATATAATTATTAAAATTTATTAATTATTTACTGTAAATATTATCTTATATATGTTTAAATTTTATTATTTTTTTATTAAACATAAATAATTTTATATTGAAAATACTAAAGATATTAATTTATTTGAGTTAATCATTATTACACATAAGATAAAGCTATATAAAATAAATTAATTAATTTCTCAAATAAGTTTATTTTTAATAAAAGAATAATTTATTTATTTATCGGTGATCACTTTAATATTAATTAAAAAAGTCCTGTTTTTAATAGATAAACAAGTTAACTTTTAAGATATGCTCTTATTATAGACGCTATTCAAAAACTAATAAATAGCTCATTTTAACTTATTGTATTTCACTTTCGCTGAATTATCTTAAGTATTTTAATTTTATTTTAATATTAAATTGTAAATGTTTCATCTAAATAAAAAATTGAAATTATTTTATTATTAATAGAAAAAAAATGATTTATTTACTTAAATAAAAAGATAAATTTTTTATTTTTGTAATTTATAGATATATGAATCCTACTTCAATTCATTATTTTTATGTATTTATATTTTATAGTTCTTCAAAGCAATCTATCAAATTTTTGTAATATGACACACTTTAAAAGTTGTTGTTGGAATTATCTAATTTCTCTTTTTCAAATTATTATTAAATCTCCATAAATACTTAAATGTCATTTTGTAAAACATATACTAAATCCTCTATTTTATTTATTTAGTTAGATATTTTGTATAAATAAGAATTAATAAAAGCATTACTTCATAAATTAATTTAAAAAAATAAAAGTTTTTTATTTTTATGTCTATGAAATAGATAGCATGCATATCAGATATCAACATGGTATTTGAGTTAATTAATTTATTAGATTTTTTAAAAAAAATTTAATAGAAAGGATTTAGAATAGATAAAAATTTTATCAGAAATAAACAGGTAAACTCTTACTTTTCAGATTTAATAAGGCAGACTATGATAAATTAATATGTTTTTATTTACTTAGTTGATTTAATTGATGAAAGAAGCTATTAATTATTGCTATCAATTCGTATTGATAGATATCAATCTTTTAATGCTTTATTTTCTCAAATTGAACTATTTGAATTAGAATTTAATTTTAGCTTTTGATAAAAAATACACAAAATTAATTAAAATATTTTACTAATTATTTTTAAATCGTTTGTTTTATTATCATTTGAATTTTGAAATTTATATGTCTACCAGCTAACTAAATCATTGATTAACATCTAATATTTCTTTATTTTTTATGCTTTGCAATCACTCAATCAATTTTTACAATATTATCAAACATTATCAAATCAAATCAAAATTTGTTTCAAACAAATTTTATTCTTTTTACTTTACGTTTTGACCAGAGCCAATCGTCTGCACATAGCTCGAATACTCACTAATCAGCCTTAAAGATAGTCAGATGACATAGTTATAAGATAAGTAATGAGCTCAAAGTGATAAAAGAGTGATTACGCATCATTATTGAGTGTCATATTTCGCACATTTACCTCCATTTTGAAGGTTTGTTAGCTTTATATATTGTGTCTATTTGATTTTTATTATTTTCCTATTTCTGAAAACAAGTTTTTGTTTGGTTTTCATGCATTTTTGAATAGATTTTGATCAAAATTATCATTTAAACATATTAATTTTTGATTGAAATTTTATCAAATACATAACTCTTGGGGAGGGATAACCAAATTTTAAAATCAACTGGATTTTTTTTTGCTCAATTTACTAACCAAAGGTGATATAAATACTCAAATTTTCATACTGAGTTTTGATAATAATTAATTAATCAATAAATTGTGATTTTATGTAAAATGACATTTCAACCAAAAAACTAACACTCAAATTATATTCGGGATACATGCTAAGACTTAGAAGAATTGTCTTACTCAAACAGAATTCTTGTATCAGGATTCGAAAAATAATCTAAAAAGAGCAAGTTTGTTGAGAAGCTCGTCATCAAAGAATGCCTCCATTTAAGGGATGACGAAAAGTGTATATCTTCTTGCAAAGACATTGAAAACGAATACAACATTGCTTCACGGCTTTCTCATGAGAATATCTTAAGTCCGATTGAATATTACAAGTAATACAGAGGTGGATGTGCTATTAGCTTCCCAAGAGCCTCTTGTGATGCCTTCCACTATTTTATTGAGAGAAGCCAACAACAGAAGCGCGCTGCATACTCCTTAGAAGAAGTGAGACAGTTACTGAGAAATGTAGCCTCGGCACTGAACTACCTTCACTAAGGAGAAAATATAGCTCATAATGATATTAAACTTGAAAACATACTTTGCTTTATTTCAGATGATTAAAAGTAAGTACCTGTTTTCATGCTGACTGATTTTGCGTATTCATATGAAATTCATACAGACCACCATACTGATAACAGTTAATTACATGACTCTTCCTTTTCGTCAAGTTTACTGTCATAGAGTACCTAAACGAGCATCAATGTTTATCCTAAATGGAAAAACAGAGTTAAAATGTACTTATCACCTGAAATGATAGAATCCATTCAAAAATAAGAAGTAAAAATGGGTCTAGAAAAAGGAAACGATATTCTTTCTCTGGGATTTGCTTTGTTTAATATTGTGTTTTTGGAAAATATGATAGGAAAATACGAAAAAGAATACTCCTCTTCTAAAAAATACTAACAAATTTAAAAATGCGGAGCAGATTTCTTGTAGACACTTAACTAAAATTTGATTAACACTGAGTTAGAAAAAAAAGACCTATTATTTGATTTAATTATTGGTATGATTCAATAAGACCCTTTAAAAAGACTAGACGCTTGTGGAATACTGAATCATCCTTGGTTAAATTGAATAATAAAAAAAACAGTTTATTGTATATAAAATAAATAATCTCAATCAATAATAATTTATCAAAAAAAAATTTTCACTTATATTAAAAATAATTTAGAAACATAAATAATTTTTTGTATCTAACTAAACACTTCTTACTACATTTATTATCAACAGATTCTTACCAAAATGGTAATAAATTAACCAAATAATAAATTAACTAAACACTCACCAAAACTATTTACTTAAAAAATAACAATTAATCTAATCATAACTTACAAAAAAGTTTATTAAAAAATAATATTCAATCATTGAATATTAAATATTATTTATTTCTTCGTATTCATTCATTTATTTTGCATATATTTTTCCTTTAAAATACTCAGAATTAAAAATTATTAATCAAACTTTCATTCATATACATTCTCTTCATTTTTATGAATCACTTACTAAATTTAATAGATGTTCTAATTCCAAAAATAATTGGTCTAATTATTAACCAAAAAAAGAACTCAATAAGCTTTGTGCAAATACTTATTTTCTAGCTCGTTCAATTGTTATATAAATAATTTTTTTTTTCTGCTCAGATAACCATTCTTTCATTTCATTTACTAATTTGTAATATTCTAAAATCTAATAAATCTAAATTTATTTTCCCCCTAATAAAATTTAAATTTGTTTATAAAATTTTATAATTCTAATTTTTTTAGAATAAAAGGGTATCAGAATTTAATAAAAAAAATGAAATATTTTAAAATAATTTAATTTATAATTTTTATAAACATACTTTTTATTATAAAAAATTTTTTAAGGAGAAAATAAATTTTCATTAAATTTACTTTTATAAAAGTTACTAAAAGCTTATTTAAAAAAAATAAAATACTTTTGTAAAGTTTTTAACATAAGTTGTTAATTTGCAAGATTACTATTTGAAATATCAAAAAAATTCTTTTAATAAATTTGTAGGAAAAGGGCATTTATTTTTCTAGAAGATAAATCTTATCAAAATTAGATATTTGATTTATCAATTTGCATTTTTTGAGAAAGTTTAATGATTCTTTTAGAATGTTAACCATAAAAATGAAAATAAGATTTTGTAATATGTGTAAAAAAAAAATGATATATGTTGATAAAAAATGAGGTTTCGTACGTCATCAGTTTTCATATTAAACAAGAATTATTCATTATTATTAATCCTTTATTAGATTGCTATATTAAAAGGAATAATTAAATCCCTTTGATTTTATCTTTTTAACAAATTAAAATTTTTATAAATAGAAAACTAACATTGATTTTAAATAAAAGCAAAGCATTTTTATATTATAGGAAAAATGATGCGTGATATCTTAACAGGAGGTAAAATAACTATTTATAAAAATCATCGCCCTATTATTTATACATATTATACTTTTTTAACCATTCCATTGAGCTCTCTGATCTAAATCTATTGTTTTAAATTTTCTATTAGGTGCTTGTAATGTAAATGGCGAGTCTTCCTCTCAAGTTAACATAAATCCTTTTAATAGATTAATGGGAAGTTTATTCATGGGAAATGCTTAGAATTAGTAATAATTAGAAATAAATTTTAAATTCTTTAAGCTCTCCATTTGTCCTATTTGCTTTTTTTAAGGTTAGAACTCTTTTGATTTAAAAAATAGGGATAGATTGTAAGGTTTCAGAACCGATGGATAACAAGGTGATCTGATGAAGAATGCTATGCAAGAAAGAGCTTAAATGATGCAAATAATGAATTAAAAGTTTGATATGATAAATAAAGAAGAAATGGCTAACTAATAAGTTATGGATTAACACTTTAACTAACAATAAATGTTAATGCACTAGCAAAATTTATAAATGGAACAAGCTTTTGTTTAATAATAGCAAATGATGCATCATGAAAATATGATGATGGATTAAATGATGCAAGAATAATTCAGATAGTAGCAAGCATTGTAAATTTAATAAATGTAAGAATAAGAAAAATTAATGAGCTAGCAATTTGATTCTCTAAAGCTACAATAAGAAGCTGAAGAATATGCATAAGTAACAGCATTACCCTTTTATCCTTGCTATTATTTTAAAATAATTAACATTATTATTTAAGCTTTATTTTCCAAAAATTATTTGGCATTATAATAAGTATGAAACAATATTTAAAAGCAATTAATGATGGAAAACGAAATGGAAAATGTTGAGCTCGAGTAGCAAAAGATCAAGCATGATGCTGGCGAGTTGTTTGATAAAATGGCCAAGGATGACAGCCCAAGAATGAAAAACTCTAAGTTTTTGCACTTCATGGGACATCTCAAATCTGGTCAGCTAAAAATTGAAGGTAATGAAATTGTAGAAGGAGTTCCAGATTAAGATTAAAAAGATATTGATGCAAGTAAATTGAATTTATTAAATAATTTGTATTACTTTTTATAACAAACAAAATAAAAAAATTTTTAGTTTTCAACAAAGCCTATGAAAACGCTATGGAAGAGTAAAAGCAATCTGAAAACAATGATGGATTTAATTTAGAATAATATTGGCAATAGAAAATGTAAAATAAGAATGCTTTTTCGATTTAAAATTTTAGTAAAAATAAATTTAAAATAATAGATCAGAGTACGAAAAAGAAAGACAAGATGAAGAAGGATTTGAAGAGAAATTGGACAAGGAATATTAAGATGTCTTAAAATATATGTAGGAATCAGGAGATTATGAAGAATTAAGCAAAGCATGGTAAAAAGCAAGTGATTTAGAAGAATAAAGTTTATACAAAGATGCTTCAGGTAGATATGCCTTCAATAAAGCCAATCCTTATATGTCACATGAAAATCCTCTCCACCTTGCTTTAGAATTTATTGCAAGTGGCAGACCATTTGATGCTATTCTTGCCTTAGAAGCTCAAATTTAAAAGAATCCTGACGCTCCCAGCAGCGCTAACACTTGGAGACTAATGGGAAGATTGCACTAAGAAATGGATCAAGATTAAAGAGCTGTTGCCTGTTTATTAGTAATTTAGATTTTTAAACATTCATTAAATTGATTAATTATCTTACCTATTATAAAAAATTTAGAATGCCTTACAAAAAGATGATAGAAACCCAGATACTTTCCTCGCTTTAGGTGTTTCATGTACAAATATTTTGGATGAAGTTAAGGCCATGGGCTTCCTCAAATAATGGTACTTAATAAGTGATATGTAAAAAGCTTTCCCTATACCTGCTGACATAGTACCTGATGATAAAGTATATAGTGAATTATCCACTGATGATATTAAGAATATGAATAAAAACATGCTCGATGCATTCTATGCTGCTCGTAACCAATTCCCATAAAATGCTGATTTACATGTAATTGAAATCTCTCTAATTTCTTCATTTAATACAAAAAAAATTTTATCAAATTTAAATGTTATAAATTTTAAAATAAAATAAGGTTTGCTTAGCTGTCTTGCAATATATATCAAGAGATTACTAAGGTTCTGTAGAGTCATTTAGAGAAGCTTTGAAGTATGACCCTAGTAACTATTCACTATGGAACAAACTTGGTGCCACTCTTGCTCAGCTTGGAAAGGCAGATGAAGCCATTAATGCTTACTACAGAGCTCTTGAGCTTAAACCTAACTATGTCAGAGTTTGGGTAAATTTAGGTATAGCTCATGCTTATAAATAAGATTTTGATGAAGCTGCTAGACTTTATTTGAATGCTCTTTCCTTTAATCCTGAGGCAAAGCATCTTTGGTCTTATCTGTAGACTTGCTTCATGTGTTTATGTAATAAATTATTGCAAATTTAATTTAATAATAAAAGTAATTTACTAAAAAAATAGAAAGATTCGATCTTGTTAGTAAAATAAGCGATCATAACCCAGCCTTATTTGCTGATGAATTTGAGATTCTTAAGTTTGACGATTTACCTCAACCTGAATTCAATTGTAATTATAAATTATATTGTTAATAAATGTATTGATTTTATTTTAATTTTCCTACTTATAAAATAGATTAAGAGGCTACAAAGAAATATTTAATAAGCGAAAATGAAATCAATGCAATGGTTTCTGAATAATTAAATAAAAAATGAATGTAAGAAAATGATAAATTATAATTAAATGAAAAAAAATAAAGTAATAATTCAAATTCAAATAAGTAAAACTAAAGTGAAAATTATTGTTAATAATATTTTTTAGATTTCTTCATGTAATCTGCATGTGCTCAAACTAGTAAAAGTTTTGTTTGAAGTAAAATAAATATTAATAATAAATACATCTATATATATAAATATATGATTCACAAATATTCAATAAATAATGATCTTATTTATCGTATATAATTTCAAAAAATAGCTCAAAAAAATATATGTAAAATTTTAGATTTATTTTAATTTTATTCAGAAATTTGCTTAAAAATACTTATCATATATTTTTTTTTAAGTTAGAAAGCATTAAAAATATATTTTTTATAAAATATTTAATTATTTTTTTTAGCAGAATAGTAATTAAATAGAATTTGAATTTAATTAAATTAATAAATAGATATCTTTGAATTGAAATATTATTTACAAAACTTACTTTTAATTAATTTTATTAATCATTTATATTTATGTGGAGTGAATTAAAGGAGATAATGAGTGTTATCCACTAATTACTTTTAAATTATAATTATTAAATTAATTACGCTTAATGAATGAATGAATGATAAAGTAATATTTTTAATTATTGTTTAAGTATTAAATTAATAGAATAATAAACAAACATTAATTGATTTTGTGTGGAATATTTTTTAATAAAGATAACTAATAGCTTAACAAATAAATATTTTAGTCTAAAATTATTTTGAAAGCTAATGATTCAAGATAAGTATGATCCAAGCGGATAGGGCATGTTTAGCAAATCTGGAAGATAAAGCGGAGATGCTAGAACCATGCTTGAAAGAGTTATTAATTCACAAACAACAAAGAATAAAAAGAAGGAATCATTTTTAGCAAATCAGAATCCTTACTCAAATTTGTTTGATGAAATAGAAGCCCTCACAAAAGAAAGCTAATTAAATAGGCCAAATACAGCTAATATATAAAATTAAAGAAGTTATTTCCATGATTATTAGATAACAATTAAAGAAAAAATTGATACTGCAAATAAAATGGAGCCATTTTAGAAATAAATTAGCCGTGAATAATATAATAGACCTTTTGTAAGTTTTTTATTAAAAAATGATAAAAATGATTTGAATAATTAACTTCTTTCTAATAAAATAATTAAGTCCTAAAAATAAGAAGTTAGAAGCAAAAAAAAAGGTGGGTTTATTTATGTTAATCCAGATCCATTAAAAAAGTAAATCTTTTATTATGATTTATCTTATATCGTTAATGCAAGAGAATTTTATGCAAATGGTTACTTACTTATCTTACTTAGTCTTTATTAAATTCCATTTAGTTCTAAAAACTGATTTTGTAAAATGTAGATTATTCAATTTGAATATATAGGAGGCCATAGTTAGTTTGGGACATTTTAAAGGTTTATAAAACCTAGCAGAAATTCAAGTAATAAACATAGTAAAATATATTAGCTTCATAATGCTAGTAATAGTAGTAAAGCACAATAAACTAAGCTCGTCAATCTGTGATGCAAAATAACTCTAAGGAGTAAGCAGCAACCCTTGATCAAAGTATGGTGCTTACTCGATCTTTTTTGCAATCACCTTCAAAGAGAAGCAAAGAATAGTAAAAAACGCCTAATAACTAAAAAACACCAATAAAAATAAATACATAATAGAGTTTTTGTAAATCATATTTAGATAAATCCTATGATTAAGTGAATTAATAATCCCATTCGTAATCACCTGAGAAAGCCAATAATGAAATAATTGCCTATCCAGAGAGAGTAAAAAGAAAGGTTTCTGGTTTTATAGATTTTAAAAGACAGCTCAATAGGTAATTAAAACTAAATTAAAATCAAAATTTAATTATAAAAAATAAATAAATAAATAAAATAGTTTCCAAAAAATATTTTAATTACAAATTTTTAAAACATAAAAAATAAATAAATTGTTTATTGAATAATTTATAAATAATTTGTAAAACAGATCTAAAGATAGTTACGATAAATTTTATAAAGTGAATGAGAAGAGATTTGAATATTTAAATGAATCTTAAGTCAGCTCGAAAGTGAAACATTTAAGAGATTTGTCGTTTAATAAATAATTAAATAGAGAAGTAGTTAGTACTTTTAAACCTGTTGAGAAAATACCAGATAATGGATATCAGCCTAACTTTGAGGTTACTAAGAAGTCATTAGGCCGAGTGGGTCCAAATTTCAGCAAAATCTCTCCACATAAATCTCTCGAAAATAAATTAGTAGGTGTGTACTAAGGAGTTCATTATGAATATGATTAGTGGGTAAAAAACCCAAACAAAAAATCCATAGTCTATAAAAAGTAAATCAATAAATGTAAAACAAACAATAAGATTAAAATATAATTTGATATATTAATAATAGCAATAAGCTTAACATAATTCCTTTCGAGAAGCAATTGCCAAGAGAATAATGTCCAAATCACGCTCTACCAGGATATATGCAAGTAAAATATAATATATATTTTGTTCATTCTCTTTATTTTAATTTAGCAAATTAATTCTCTTATAAATCATTTATTTGTTTCGATGTGCAAATAAATATTTTGATTAAATAATAAATTTACTTTGATAATCAATTAGAATATTGAGTAACTAATTAGAATATTTAATTTTTGAGCACAAAAAAAAATAATTAAAAATTTATTTAATTTAAAATTAACTTTGAAAAATATTTCATTTATTAAAAACAAACTTATTATTTTGCAAAATATTTTTTAGAATGTCAGATCTAGGATTAGTTTACAAGATCTAAGTTAAAAAATGCTAGAGGAAAATAGCTATATGGATTAAAAGTTTTTGAACATGAATTCAGTCTTTTCAACAAAAAGTAGTATGAGTAGGTAATCAACAAAGAGCATAACATAGCAAAACTTTTTTATATCTGGTTAAATGGTTAAATCTCCTTCTTAAAAGGAGAGAAGGTAAACAGCTAATAGCAGCTGCAAAAATGGAAGAAATTTCTAGAGAAATGGCTCTTTTGTTTCTGCTTAAATTACAAATCATTCATTTTACTATTGAATTAAATAATATAAATAAAATTTATGTAAATAATAAATTGTAAATAGATGATAAAAACAATGAGTTTTTAATATTGATTTTGTTTTGAGTGTATTTTGAATTTATTTATTTATTCATTCTTACCCTTTATCAACTTTCTTATGCAAAATATTCTAAAATCACAACATATATTTTATTAAAAAAAATTTGATAAAAGTAATTTTTTTCCAATTTTAAATAAAAGTTAAAGCAAGCTTATTATCGCATAAAATAAGATAAACTTTTGTGAAATAGGAAGAAGGAAGGAAAGAAAGAAAGTAAGAAGAAGACATAAAGTAAAAGTAAAATTAAAATGAGTAATTTGAGACAAGGATTTAATTTGCCAAATCGTGCGATTCAGCAATAAACTTAATGTAACAACAATGATTTTTTTTTAAAAATATTAACATTATTATCACTTATAAATAGAAACCTAATCAAGTAAGTAGGAAGCTTAATAAATCTATTAATTTAAACCAGCAAGCATCTAATCTTAGTAACAGAGATAAAATAATTTTCAATAAAATTAATAAACAAGTTTTTAACTGCAGAATTAGGTTTAATATAATGAAAAATAAAAAAATTATAATTATTAAACATAAAATAATGATATTTAGAAAATGTCACTTCAAACACAAACACAGACAAATGTTTAGTAAAACTAATTTTAGTAATAACCATAGAATAGTAATTATTATCAACAATTCTAATAAAACTAACTTCCTTAAAATAACTCCAATCCTAACTTCTAAAATGATAGAAGTCGAAATGGTTAATAGCCAAATGTTAATAATTAAAATTAAACTTAAATTAGATCAGATTCGTCTAAACCATTTGATAAACCAAAAAGAGGCCACTCAATAAAAGATAGAAATACTGAATAGCAGAAAAATTAAAATACAATTTAAGCATAAGCATAAGAATAATACTAACTAATTAACAATACTTTTGATTCATCATAAAAGACAAAAGCATATTAGAATTTAGTTAATTCAAAAATCAATACAAATAAACTTCCCATTATAAACTCTGGACAAAATGCTAAAAACTCTCCTATGCAAAATACTAATCAACAACCCTAAGCAAATAATATCTTCAATATTGATAAAGGTAAATAAATACCTTTTTTAAGAAATAATTAATAAAATCAATAAAATTTAAATTCATATTAGCAAGGCATAAAAATGGATTCTAACATAATGCCTTAAGCCAATTAATATAATTTTCAGTAGAATAATTATAGCTAACCTAATAATTCATAGGCAATAATACCATAATATCCTTAAAATACTATTTAGAATAATATAATTAATTCAAATTTAGCAAATTAACAACTAAATAATAATTAAAATACTTAACCATTTTCAAATAGTTATTTATTGCAATAATAAAACTATATGGAATAATCTTAATAAAGCAATTTGAACTAAATGAACAATATCTATCAGATGAACCAGCTATAACAATAATATTAATAACAGCAACAATAACAATAACAACAACCTTAATATAGAAATTTACCAATATAAGCAGAATTAAACAAAAAAAAAGAAAATTCATAGCTAGATGATTTAACTTAGTCTTAATCTAATTAATAGCCTTAAGGGATGAATTTAAGTGTAATTTAAGAATTAAAAGATTCAGAAATTAGTTAATCATAAAGCAGTTAGATATAGAATTAAGATTAATTTAGCTAGTAATATCCTTTAAAAGATGCAGCAAATAGTTAAATTATAGAAACAAACAAAATTAATCAATACTAACAAAACGAATAAACTTCTAAAGTAAATTTAAATAACATCGAATAGTAGAGCAATCATTAAACCTAACAATTCGAGCCAATAAGTATTTAAAATAACACCATTAATATTTAGAACAATTTTAACTAAAACTTTTATAAAACTAATTAATAAAAAATTGCAAATGGCTAAACAAATTTCAATTTCTAAAAATAAAAAAACGATGAAATCTAACAAATATTTAATCACCCTCAGAATCAAAATAAGTAATAAAGAAGTGAAGGCTATAATTAGCCAAAAGACACATCTTATGAAAAGTAAGATTTACCATAAAAAAGTTAAGTTAAAATTATAGGAGAAAATAATATTCCATTGCAAAGCTAGCAAGAGGAAAAAAAGTTTAACACATATCTGAATTCATCTACTACTGAATAATCTAGCAATTTTAAGTAATTAATTAATTAATTATTCTTAGTTTTAATAATTAAATAAATATATTTTTATCTAATTTAAAGGGGATTTTTAAATTTTTGTTAATAAATTTCAATAGCTTTAAATCCAAATTTAGATTTTTTTTAAATAAAAGAATTTAATTTCTAGGCAAATTTAAACTCTCCCATTAATTTTAAATAAAAAACTCAAATCTTAAATTGAAAATAAAAATTATTTTTTTTAATAAATTAGAAATGATTAAAAAGATGATGAGACTTAAAAGACAACACATGGCAAATCAAAAGATACATTTTAGTTTTTGACCAAGCAGCAGTTTGACTCTGATAATAATATTATTTAAATACTTGCTGAAAAAGTAATTAGCCAAGAGACATAATAAAATATTTAGAAACTATATTAGGAAGTTAATACAAAAGATTTAGGCTAAATTTATAACCTTGAAGTATTAAAAAATGCAATTGATACATCTATTTAGGAATTCAACTCTACAATAAACTCTAGCATTAAAGGAATATCTAATTTAAAATTTTTTGATAATTAAAAAATTCTAGATTAGTATTAATTGCCTTCTGAAATTTATGAGTAATGTTTTAAAGAATTACAATTAATACATACAGGAATTTTATCAGAATTGTTTAGACCTGATTAACTATATTAAGTTTTTGAAACTAAAATAAATAAAGAATTTGTTAAAAATATGCTATTGTAATACTTACATTATTTTTAAACTGGTGAAATTATTGATTGTATACACTTTAATTGTGTTTCCATGTAAAAGTTAACCTAAGATAAATTAAACAATTATAAGTATTATTAGATTTAAGGATAATACTTTGAGAATAATTTAATCTAGTCCTTTAACAGTTGTCTTTATTAAATAAAAGAGGAAATATAAAGAGACTTATAGAAAGGGATAGCTGATTTGAATTCTGAGAATAAAGGTTTAGATTCGTTAAAGAGCACTTTTATTAATAAAAAGAATGAATTGATCAACTTAATTAACTAATATTGGAAATTAATCAAAATTAAAAATATTTATGAAATAGATACACTTTCTGTTGTTATTATTTATAAGAAAATATAAATTATGAATGAGCAATTAAACTAATTTTTAGAATAATCACAAGATTCTCTTAACTCTGTTGTTAATGAAATTCTATTTAAATAAGCTAACACAGCAGCAAACTTAGGCCCTATAGAAACAGAAATGTCAGAGTATTTTTTGATGTACATAAGAAATGATACTGATGACACTATTTTATAACTCAAAACAAAATAAGATCAATTATTTGAAATAGCGTGTTGTTAATATGAGCAAACAGTAGTTGCAAATTATTACTTAAAATAAAGAGCTTAAGACATTTTAGAAAATCTAAAAACAATAAAAATCTATTCAAATTAATTGAGTAACATGGCTTTGGATAATCTGAAAAAACTTTTTTAAAAAGAAAGCTTTTTATCATTATTTAAAAGTGTTTTATCAGAAAACGAAGATTGGAGTTAATTAGAAAATATTAATGATCCAATATTACTAATTTTTTTAATAAGACACATTTTAAAAAGAATTATCATATAAACCAAGAAAGTAGAAGATCTTCTCAAGCAAATTAATAATTAAATGTAGCTAACAAAGGGTGACTCTATAGATTATTACTTTAACTCAAATTAAAATCTTCCATTCTTTAAAGTTAAATTTGTTTCAAAGTTACCACTCTATATTGAAGATGACACAGTCTATGCAATAATAAACATAAATCTTGGTTTACAAGATTTTTTTTTTAAACTTAGTAATTATTCTTAACTCTTTTAGTATAAAATTAATGATTAATTTATTAAATGTGGTTTGAAGGATGAAATTGAATAAAGAGTTAAATAATTTGAAATTGAAAGAAAATATCTCCCTTAATTTTTGTTTTAGCTTGAAAAATCTCACAAATGCGGTATATTAGCTATGTACATTGAAGAAAAATTTGAGACAATATAATCTTATTTGGCTAAAAAATAATAGAAAAGTATTTTAAAAGGTTTCATCAATAAATTTAAAAAAGAATCGAAGTTTGAACCGTTTATATCTTAAATGTCTTTCACATATTATTAAAAAACTCTTGAGTATACTTATTAATTGACACAGGTGTTTAAAGAGATTCTTAAAGTAGCTAACTAAGAGCTATTAAATTAAAAAGAAAAGATTAATAGATAACTTCAATCAGAATTTAAACAATTTGCTTAAAAATAAAATCAATATTAAGATGAATTAATTATATTTTAAGACTAAAATAAAATCCCATAAATAGTAGCATACAAGGATAAAAAAAAGTAATATTAAACACTTTTCTTTTTAACTAAGAAAGAATCTTTTAAAAATGAAGAGGGAGATATTGTTAAGGCTTATAAACTCATATTTGAATACAAGTTTTAAAAGATACTATTCTTCTCACTATTTAGCGATATTTTAAAAGAAGATAATCAGTTAACCAAATATTTTTTTTTATTTTTACTTAATTAAATATTAAATATCTAAGAAGTAGAAAAACAGCAGCTACCTGTCGATTTTAATGAATGGTTTCTAAAATTTTTAATTGAAAACACTAATGAACAGATTTATTAGCTTCTTAATTAAAAAGATCAATAAATTCCTCAGAGTAAAGGTTAATTTTAATAATCACTTTAAAAAAATTTTGAATAAAAATAAACAGTAACTAAAACCGTTTAAAAAGAAATTGATGATTAAAATTATATTAATTAGAAAAAATAAGATTTTTAAGTTGAAGTATAAACTAATAGTGTTTAATTAGGTTTTTAAGTTTAAATTTAAGATTAGCCATAGTTCAATAATAAAAAAGAAACTGATTAATCATAAGAATATAAATAATACTGTTTAAAGAACTTTCTTGGCTTGATTTAAGAAGAAAGTTTCAAAAAAATATTTAATGGTGTAAAAAAATTTAATTTAGATTATCTAAAAGATTATGGATATGTTAGTGAAATAAGAGATATAAAAGACTCTCAATAGAAAAATAAAATAATTCAATTTTTTAAAGATAAGTCTCATATTTACATCATTGGAAATATTTATTAGTAATTTTAAATTTTAATTTATTTAAATTAAAAATGTTATTGTTTTTATGAAGAGAATCCTCCATCATTTTTACAAAATTTATAAATTGAATCATACATTAAGATTAAACTTAATACAGATAATAATATTTTTGAATAAGATTAAGCTTTAACAATATTATATTTATTGATATGGTTATAAGATTAACAAAGTGGTAAAATAACATAATAAACATATGATCAAAATAAAAACGGATATAAATTTTAACTTCATTTAAAGTACATTTGGATACAATAATAAAAAAGTGAAAAAAGGCTATTTTAGCAAGATAAAATTTTAATCTATGAATATTTTTCTCAAATTAAATAACCCAAATCATATGAAGTTTAAATTTATAAAGTAAAATAATTATCTCCTCAAAATGAAATTCCTTTGATATTTGTTCTCAGAGATACAATCAAATATTAAAAAGAAATAGTTTTTATTTATGATTCAAATAATGAATAGTGCTAGAAAGATACAGAAGATATAAAAAAGAAATTCTTTTAATGCAAGTTTAGCTCCATATAATATTAATTTAAAAATGCTTAATAACAAAAATGTCTTATTAATGTTAGCTTACATCAATATCTAAATTAGACAAATTATTAAAATAATTCTTTAAATACTATTGTAAATTCATATTTTACAAACTATCTCTAAGATATATGTTTTCCTTTTTTCATCTAGTGACTGAAAAATTTGATATAATTACTTGAATTTATAACCATACTTAGCTAGCTACTGCAAAGTTTAATTTAAGTGGTTTCCTTATAAAATCTAGATCAAATTATTATATCTATCTTTCATTTTTAACTTATTAATAATGTATTTGGTTTTATTTTTATGTATTAAAAATATTAAAATCCAGAAAACTTTTATTTTAAAATTTAAATATAAAAATTCTTTAGTGATATTTATTTGAAAATTTACTTTTTTAAAATGAATTTTCTTTAGAATAAATTTAATTTAAACTTAAAATAAATTAAAAGGCGACTATGAATTTGAGATTAAATTTATTTAACAATATAAGAATATGAAAAAATAAATGATTTAAAATCTAAATTTTGAATAATTTAGTCTTCTTGAAAATTAGCTAGCAATATTTTATTTAAAACCAAATATATAAAATAGAAATCCTTAGATATTTTATTAAGAGGGATATAAAATATTTAATAAAAATTTTGTTATAAAACACCAGTTGAATGACAAAAATTTAATAAAAATGATGGAAATTAATGTGCTTTTAATATACCCCAATTAACATTTTAATAATAATAAATAAATAAAAATAATTTTTTTGAAGTTGTTTTATATCTAAAATTATCTTTTATTTTCAAGAGATAAAATGATACAATTATAAATTTGATTTATAACCTCGAAAATCCTAATTGAAAAATAAATAAAAGTAATTCCAGTTAATAATTTTTAAAAATTCAAATAAAAAATATATAAAAAAAAATTTTTTTAATTTTTATTTCAAGAAAACATTCTAATAGGAGCACATTTACACTTTCTTTAGTTTTAATATTTTTAGAGATTTAAGTTAATTTCAAAAAGCTATAGTTACTCAGAATTCTTTTTAAAGAGTTTTTGGTATCTGTAGATTTTTTAATCTAGCAAAGAGATATTTTAGTTATATAAAGACTCAACATTTTAGTAATCGTTCTTTGTTAACTTTAATTCTAAATAAATTAATAGTCCTTTTAAATACTTTTGTAGTGAAATAACATCCTAACTTGCTTCTTTATTATTTTAAATAAATTCATCATTATATTTTATCAATATGTTTTCAACTAAATTCTTTTTATTTTCCTAAATGTCATAAAATTCATGTTAAAAATTAAAATAATTTAATTATTAATATTTTTTATAGCTAATTAATTATTCCATGTTTGAAGAATCTCTTAGAAATATCTAACAAAGTGTTATAAATATTTCCTTAAGAGCTTTATTTTAGCATATGTAATCATTTGCTATCAAACCTTAATTTATTGCAGAAAATACCTTAAAGTGTTAAATGTAATACACCATTTTTGTTTACATATCAGATATTTAATTTTAAGTTAGTAGGTTATTTCTTTTAATCTATAGATTTTCGACAATCTAATTAACTCCTTAACCTGCTAGTTCTTACATAGTTTTATTACTTAAGTTTAATAAAAGCAGATCTTAAAAGGTTAAAAAGGGTATTATCAGTTAAATTATATTTTTATTCAAGTAGTCAAACACTTTACTTGTTTTTTTTAAACAATATATTGGTCTCTCATATTTTATTTTTAGCTTTATTTTATTTGCTTCAAAAAACTTATAATATTTTTCTTTTTTGATCATTTTGATACATTCACTCTATTTTTCTATTGAATGCTTTAAATTCTATTAAATTTTGAAATACTATCTTACACAATAAATTAAACTGTTTAAACTGCATGATTTTACATTCGAAGGATATTCAGGAATATTTAAAATACCATTTGAAGGTTTGACATAATTTAAATCTAATGATTTAAAAACATTGTAAACTCCCTTTTGTAAAATATAATCAATCACTTCATTCTTTTTAATGTTTTTTTTCATAAAATAATTCACTGCAGCTACTAAAATATCTAATAAGGTTTCTTTACTAATTATTGTCTTTTTATTAAATTCTTTTAATTACTAATTTATTTCAATGATAAATTAATCTTTCATCAATTCTTAGAATTTTTTTTGGATATTTACAAAAGACTCACACATCTCTTCAAGATTCGTTTTTTAATAGAAATCATCTACCTCATTTCTAATTAAATTAGAGTAGTTTTATAGTTTAATAGCATAAGGTATCATGTTTCTAGCTTTATGACAAAGAGTAGCAAGTTTTACATAATCTTTTAGCTCAAGAAACAAATATATTCTTTCAAGCAAAGAATTGCTAAAAATATCAAAAAATTTAAATTTCTAAGTAAATTTCTTTTGGTCATTTTCTTCTATATCTGATAAACTATTTTGCTTTTACTCTTCTGAAAAGTTATTCTTATTTAAAACAGCTCCTGAGATTTAATTTTATTTTACTTCTACTTTACAAATTTTATGCTAAGTTTATGAAATGTCACTCTATTTCTTGCTATTCTAATTTTAAGAACTATTTTTTATTTATTTTAAAGAATTTAACTCGCCATTCTATTGTAAAACCTTTTATTGAGAATCTGTTTTATTTTATATTGTTGATGATTTTTATATTGTCTTTTGTTTCCTATTTTAATAAAAATATATTATTTAGCTAAAAAAAATCATTATTAAGTTTTACATGCTTATAATAATTATTTAATGCTAAACAAATTTGAGAATCTTAAACTTTTGTATCAGTTTTTGCTAATACTTTTTTTGTATTAGATTTTATTTATTTAGTTGTAGAAATTTTTTAAATAATTGCTCTTTCTATAATTTTGATTTTCTTATTTTTTAGTTAACTAAATAATTAGTGGATTCTGTTTAAAAGATTTATTTGTCTTTTTTCTATATTAATTATTCAATATTTTCCACATAAAATTCTTAATTTAAATGAATTAAAAAACAAATATTTTTAAAAAATAGAAACAAAGTATTTTATTTGTTAAATCTACTATTTTAAAAATACAAAATTAATAATTAGAATATAATAATTAATAATTCTTATTATTTATTCATGTTTAAAATATAAATATTTAACTTCTGATAAAAAATTAATACTTTTATGCATTAAGAAAATTAATTATCAGGGTTTCATTTTAAAATGTAATATTTAATTTGTTAAAAAATATTCTTTCTTTAATTTATTTTATATTTTAATAAAAAATTTCCCCCACCGGGACTTGAACCCGGGTCTGAAGGGTGAAAACCTTCTATCCTAACCTGCTAGACTATAGGGGATTATGAAATTTTTCTTAGTTATCTAATAATAACTTTAAAAACTTTAAATTTGTATTTAATTTCATAAATTCAAAATAAAAATTGACATACTATTAACCTTAATCCAATACATTTATTTATAGTAATCTTTAAATATTAAATTGGAATATTTTTTAAAATGTCTCTATAATATTTTATTTGATTATGATAATTATTGAAATTAAATATTAAATTGTAATTTATGTTTTAAAAAAAGAAATTAAAAATATTTATTCAATTAATAAAATATATTTAAAAACTTAAGGAAAATTAATAATAAATAAAAACATTTATTAATAGTAAAAATATGAAAACTATTAATAATATTAATACAAATTTATTTTTCAAAATTTAATAAAAGAATCAAGTAGAGTCAAAGTAGGAATAAATAATATTTTTAAATTCATTGCAGAACGAACTCTAATTCTTTTCATTATTGAAAACAAAAATTTTTAAACAGAGCATTGCTCTAAAATATAAAAATCTTCCTCTGTCAGTCAAATTTTTTAATAAACCTTTACACAAAATTGATGTCGCGACAGGCAATATTTACTTTTTTTAATAAAGTTGTTTGCTTTTTCAGAATAATTTGGAAATTAAATTTGTAATTATTCATGTTAATTGAAGTTATTTATTTTTTCATAATACTATTTAATTAATTGATAAAATAATAAGAAAAATAATAATTCTACTTAGCGTTCTATTAAATTAACTCGAAATAATTTATCATTTTTTTCAATTAAATTTGCATAAATGATTGATTTTTCTTCTCTAAATAACGAAAGCACTTTAATTAAACACATGAAAAGTATTAAACTGAATGAATAAGTATCTTTTTTTGTGTTTTCTTAAAAATAAATATGTTTCTTTTTTTATATTTTGCCCTATTATTAATTAGGATCATTTAGATTTGTTGAGACTCAATAATAAATAAGGAGAGACTGTATAAGAGTGCACAAATGATGACTTAAAA